TGCCACCCTTCGGTGTCTGATGTCACCGCCGGCAATCGGCTGGCTGCCGTCAAACGTTAGGAATAATTACAGGATGCTGCTGGCTTTACAGCGCTGCCCTGTTTGCTCGTTAAATGAGATTAAAAACAGCGGCCGGGAGAAGCTGCAGGGATGGGAGCCCCGAGGAGGGCCCGGGGTGTCCCAAACACGGACACGGGGCTGGCGTGGCCTCCTCCAGCCCGGGACACGCAGGGACAGCCCCAGAGCCAGCCGGGCTGAGCACGGGATGCGCTCGGGGTGCCGTCGGTGCCCAAGCCCCAGAGGGGTTCAGTGTCCCCAGGAGCACCCGGGGCCCCTTCCCATGCCAGGCTCCCATCTCGGGCTGGGACAGCCCTGACTCTGCCCAGGGCATGTGCTGGGGGTGGCTGAGGTGCTGCTGGCACAACACTTGGGAAAGAACCAGCGGGATTATTATTAATAACAGCAATTATTGGGTTATCATCATTAGGGCAGGGATCTCTCCCTCTGAGGCACTCGAGCACAAGAGCCCTTTAATGAGAGGGTGTCCCTGGCTGCCCTGCCCTCCGCCTCCTCCCCAAATTCCAACATCTCCTTTATCCCTCCTGCAGCCCCTGCAGCTCCCACGGCTGGGAAAGGTGGGAAAGATGGGAAAGGTGTCAGACCCAGCATCCTTGAGAAGAGCAGCCAAGACTAAACATCCTGTTCTTGATATTCATTTCTTTTTAAAGCTCAGCCTCTCTCCATATGTCAAAGCTGAACTTAAACCACAAACACCTGAATTTCCCCAATTTCTATTTAATATTTGCCCTATTTTGTATCACACAGCCACTGGAGAAGGGCTGTAGGGAAGTGTTATCCTGCTTCTCCAGTGGCAAAACAATTCCAACACATTCCCCCGTGGGACAGGCTGGGGGTGATGGCAGCAGCCCCAGGAGAAGCAGAGCTGGGCTCTCTCATCATTCCCACCTCTTCTGCAGCTCCAGGGACATTTGTGGATCCCCCAGGGCCTGGAGGGCTGCACCAGCCTTGGCTGGGTTCTCCCCCAGCCCCATGATTCACCCACAGAGGGTTTGAGTTTCCCAAGGGAAGGGACCAGGCTGAGTCAGGCTGAGGAGTGCCAGGCTGGGGGCTCCTTTCCAGAAGAAAAACTCTGATTTTTGGAGCAGGAAATCCATTGTGAGGTCCTGATGCTCCCAGGGGCAGGAGAGCTCTGCAGCATCCAAGTGTGAGGATCAGAGAGCAGGAACGTGTCTGATCCCTCCTGGGCTCTGTGGCAACAGTGGGATGAGGGAGAAAATCCCTGTGGGACAGGAGGGAGGTTGTAATTCCCACTCCAGTCTGGGACCTGCAGGAACAGGGCCTGGCTGCAGGAACAGCACTGAGCACGGCAGGATCCTGCTCAAGAAAGTCTTAACAAGGAAAATAAAACCTTCCCAGAGGCACATCCAGGCCTCCTCACACACCCAGAACCTCCCCATCCCGGATGGGACCTTTTGGGGGCAATGCCTGAAGGTCTCCAACGTGCCTGGGGTTAAACACAGCACAGGGGCTTCCCCTCCACACGTCCTTTGTACCATTTGATTGAGAATTTTCCCAAAAGCATCTTCTGCTGACACATTCCATTTGGGAGAGGAGTGGGATCCGTGCTGATCCCAGGGTTTGGATAAAGGGCTGGAGCTGGTTCCTCCCCAGCTGCTGATGTGAAGGGCTGGGATCAATCCTGCAAGAAAAGTCTGCAAATAGGGATTTAGTCATTATTTTTTCCCCTCCTGGAAACAAGGGAGTCACCAATCGTGGAGGTTCAGGTGGCTGCCCCTGGCTTTTCCCACCAACTGGGAGTGCTGGGGGTGACATCCCTGAAGTGATTTTGTCCTCAATGCACCCCAGACCCTTTTGCAGCCCTCCTGGTGAGCTCAGAGCTTGTTTTCCCCTGGATCCTTGATTCCTCACCCGTGAGCTGTGACTCATCCCCACCTGGATGGGAACGTGGCTGTGCAGCAAACGAGTCAAGGCCAATCCTGATTTTCTTACCAGGGAACAGAAACGACCCAGGGGTGCCTCCTACCAAACCCCAGACCTCGGGAGGTCTCTGGGGTGTTTTGGGAGCCTCCTGGGGCTGCAGGGTGGCCTCTCCCCAGAGCAGCTCCAAACCTGCCTGGTCACACCAGGACTGAATCTGGGAGCCTGGACCTGGTGGCTTTGTGTTCGTTTGTGTCCCTCAGTGCCTGGAGGATCCCTGGGCTGGGAACTGGGCAGGAACCAGCCCTGAGCTGCCCTGGGCTGGCCCAAAGGCAGGATTTACCCTGCAGGATTTCCTGTGTGCCTCCAGGCCCTGCAGGCTCTGCAGCATGGCCAGACCATCATTCCTGCAGAACTTGAGGAAAATGTGGGATTCCATCCAGGTCTGGGGGACTGCAGCCCCAAGATGTCCCCACCACGTCCCTCAAGGCTCCACCACGGTCTTGCCGTGTCCTGGAAGGTGCCACAGACATGTCCAGGGAGGAAAATCCCTTTTCCTCCACTGGAAAAAGTCCAGGGAATCTTTTGTGGCACTGGAACGTTGCAGCTCTGTGTTTATGGGCAGCAGCTCCAGCCCTGCTTGTTTGAAAACATTTCTGGGGAATTGCAGAGAGACAAAGCAGGAGCTGGGCTGGGAGCTGGGGAAGAGGCAGAGAGGAGCAGGAAGGGCCCCAGCTGTGCTGCACTTCCAGAAGAGCTGGAAAAGGGAATTACAGGGCAGGAGGCAGCAGGACAAGGAAAGCATCACAGAATACCCAGGGGAGGTCAGGGTTCTGTGTCACCTGCAGCAGGTGAGGGGGCAGCAGGTCCCTGCTCTCCCCAGATTTAATTAATCCGTACATTAATTAAATCCTGGAGCCCAACCCAGTGCAGGGATGGCAGAAATTCGGGGAGCTCCTGCCCACAGTCAGGTTCAAAGCAATCCCACAGCTCATCCAACCTCTCCTGCATCACAAAGGACTTCTTTCCCCCAAAGAATGTCTTTGGCAAATAAATTATTTTTTTTGGAGAGGGGGTTGACTCTCTGTTGTTCAGCTCATGGTTCAGCTCATCACTTTGAGTAATTTCATCCATTTTGAGGCATCTTCCCTCAGTCTTCTCATTCCTAATTTAAGTAACAAACTCCCCCAAGTCTTTGCTGGCCTCCCAGCCCCAGTCCAGGGGATTTTGGAGCCTGGAGCTCTTTGTCTCTGTGCAGCACTGGGAACGCTGGAGCCTCTCTGTGTGGCCTGGAGCAGCTGAAACTTTCCCAAACACTTCCCTTTTGTTCTTGTCCCTCTCCACCCCCGCTGGGGTCGTTATTGTCACCTTCAGTCCCTCCCAGGCCGATCTGCTCCCAAGCACTGTCAGGATGTTCCCACCTTCTTTTCAGCTCTGGCTTGTCCCCAGATCACAGCCCTGGGCAGGGAGCCACTGCTTGCACCACCTTTGTTTTCCAAAATACATCTCTGGGCCTCTGCAAAGCACCCAGGACAGCTCTGGGGAGCTTCTTGCAAGAACGGTTTCAAACCTCCCTCTAAGATGGCACCTCCTCAATGTCACTGATGCTGGGCAGTGAGCACCTTGTGCTCCTGGCAGCTCTGAGGATGTGCTGACCCAGCTGAGGGTGGGAACCCAGGGTTTGCCTGTGGGAGCTCCAGCAGCTCCTGCAGCTCCTGAATCCGCTTTTACAGATCTGTGCCAGCACAAGGGGAGCACACCAGGATTTGCCCCGAGCTGTGCTGGGGCTCCCTGGCTGGGAGAGCTGCAGGAGGTCCTGCCAGGGGAACCAAGCTCCCCTGGGCAGGGGCTGGGGGCAGCCCGAGGGAACCTGACCTGCTTTGGCCAGGAAAGACCCTGAGCAGGGCAGGAAGGCAGCCTGGTGCTCCTGCCAGCTCCCACACCTTCCCCACTCCACAAATGGCAAAGGCAGAACACGGTGGGGGCTCAGTCCTGACTGTGCTCAGAGCCTCTGGCAGCACAGGCGCCCAGCCCAGGCTCCTGGGGAGCTGCTCCTGCTGCTCCCAGCACGGGGGCAGCTCTGGGAGGGGTTTGGCTCTGCCCAGGCTGCCCTGAGTGACTCTGCAGCCACCCTGAGCAGCCCAGCTGCAGTTTGGAGAGGGTTCTGCTGGCCCTGACTCTGCAGGGCTCCCACAGAGCTCTGCTTGCTCTCTGATGTGCCTCCAGGGCAGCAGAGGTGCAGGATTGCTGCTCCAAAGAGCCAGCTCCACAGCAGCCCCTCCTGCACTTCACAGGGCCAGGCAGAGGCACCAGCACAGCCACAGCCCTGGTGGGACACCAGGCAAAGCTCCCCGGGGCATTCCTGCCCAGCTCCCTCCTGAGCTGCCAGCAGTGACATCAGCCCCACCGAGGTGAGAACAAAAACACTGCAGCTTCACCCTTCTGCTAATTGCCAATCCCAGCACTAACAGCAGGCACCAAAGGGGCTGGTGAGTTATTCAGCCTCTGAAATTATTATTATTATTGTTATTGTTATTTCTGGGCTGGGACTGTGCTAGGAAATTCAAGTTCAAACAGAGACGAGGAAGCCAGGGAAAGCTTTATTAGATTCCAGCCTCACCAGGTGTCAGCAGAACTGTGCCAGGTGAGGCAGCAGCATGCACAGCTGGGAGCAGGGCTGGGCATGCAGGGGGGCAGTGCAGGGCCCTGGACACTCCATGGAGGGGACACAGAGCTGCTGCTGCACCCAGGGAAGGGAAGGGAAGGGAAGGGAAGGGAAGGGAAGGGAAGGGAAGGGAAGGGAAGGGAAGGGAAGGGAAGGGAAGGGAAGGATGTTGTCCTTGCAGAGCCCTGAGGCTCCAGCCCCACACAGACCCTGCCAGTGCAGCAGGCAGTGCCCAGCTGCTCCCTTTGGGAGCCTCCTGCTCCCTGGGGCTCCTTGAGCAGGCCCAGGGCTGGACAGAGCAGCAGCTCTGAGGGAAATGTGAGGAACACCGTGGCATTCAGGCTCCTGCCTGGTTCAAGCACTAGTCAAGCCCAGCTTACCCATTTGTTCGGTTTATTTAACTTCAAAGAGGTGCACACTAAAGCATTAAGATTTACTGGTTTGGATTCCTCTCTGTACAAGTTCTTTCAAACAGCTTGAATGCACAAGGCTTTACAGATAGAAGCGCTGAAACACAAGATAAAACAAATCTGAATTCCAAATCACTCCATGAAGAAAAATTGTAGAAAATAAAAAAAAAGGAAAACAAAACAAAAATATTCCAACAAAAAACTGCAGCACTCCTTGGGAAAGGGACAGACTGCACGAGGAGGGACACAGAGGGGTGGAAGGCAAGCAGTGGAGGCTCTGCCCAAAGCTTCTCCGTGCTGGCGGCTCAGGGGATGGAGTTCAGGAGATCCTTGAGGAAGCTGTCGGGATCATTGATTTCTGACAAGAGTCCTTGGAACAGAAGAAGGCAAGAGAGAAGAATCAGCCCCTGTTTGTCCTGCCCAGGAGGGATTTGTGCTGGGCCATGTGTGAGCTACTGACAGCTGCAGGATTATTTTAGGGCTGGACACGAGCAGGGTAAACCCTGCTGGGTGCATGTGCAGGAGGGACTGAAATGTGAATTTAATCAAACACCAAATCCATATGGAACTGCTCTTGGGCAGCTCCAGGGACCCAGCTCTGCTCCCTGTGTTGGGCAGTGAGAGACAGGCCTGGGGCACAGATTTTGAGAGAGGAAAGAGCAGTTCCAGCTTCCCTGCAGGTTTTCAGCATCTCCTGACTCCTGGAGGTACCAAAATCCTTGGGGAGCGACTCTGGCTGCACCCAACTGCTGCCTGCTCACATCTGCTCACAGCCTTCAACCACAGACCCCCCAGCCCAGCTTCCAGCTGTGCTACAGAAGTTTAACAGGGCAGGGGGGAGATTTTCCTGCTGGGGCTGCTCAGGTGTGTGTCCCAGCAGTTTGGGGACAGCCCAGGCCGTGCCTGGGCAGTGCTGATCCCTCCTCTCCCTGTCCCCTCCCCACGAGCTGCAGCAGTGTCAGGAATGCTGCTGGCTCCAGCCACCAGCTGCACAAGGCAGCCTATAAAAGGGCAAGCAAACACTCACCAGCCACATCCAAAAACTCAGAAAACGTTTCCACTGGCATGAATTCCTCCTGGAAGGTTTTCAGGGCCTTGTCTGCAGCCTCGTGGATTGGCATGTCGTTGTGTCGGATGAACTCAGCCAGAGAGAAGGACCAGCCTCCCTCTGTGTTACTGGTAGGCACCTTCTGACAGGGGACAAACACACCAAATCAGGCCAAAAATCATGATTTAATAAAAAAAAAAAAAAAGTTATTGCAAACCCTGGTGCCTTCTCCCATTGCTCCTGGATTTCCATCCCTGATTCTTAAAAACAACCAACAGAGAAAGAAATTCCCCGACTGCAGCTTCATGATCTTTTTTTGCAGAATGAAACAAGGGCCCAGGCATTTTCTCACCCTGAGCACTGAACCCTCTGTGGAAGCTGCAGGTTTCTTTCTGCCCCTGGCTCCTTCCTCACCCAACCATTTCCCTGGCACGGCCTGGAATGTCCTTCCTTCCATGAACAATGAACAGGAAAAGTAAGCAAACACACAATACAGGAGTGCTGCCAACTGGAGAAATCTCTCAATTCTTCAGCTACTGAACCGCAAGGGGTGCAATGAGCACAGGCAGCTTCTTGTGGCCTTTCTGCTTTTACAAGGTGTAGAAGAAAAAAGAAGGAAGAAATCCTTCCCTGTGAGGGTGGGCAGGCCCTGGCACAGGGTGCCCAGAGCAGCTGTGGCTGCCCCTGGATCCCTGGCAGTGCCAAAGGCCAGGCTGGACAGGGCTTGGAGCAGCCTGGGACAGTGGAAGGTGTCCCTGACATGGCAGTGGTGGAACAGGATGAGCTTTAAGGTCCCTTCCCACTGAAACCATCCTGGGATTCTGTGAAGTTTCATTTCCAAGGACCTTGGAGAAAGGGGTTTCAAAATTTGATTTCTATTTCAAACTCATGGAATGTCTGAGGTCAGAAAGCTGAAGTGGAGCTGAGCTGGAGGTGCTGCAGAGGACCTGCAGTGCTCTCCTTACCTTGAACATGTTGTAGATGAGATCCACGAGTGCCCAGAAGAGCAGCCCCGAGCGGTACGTGGCGTATTCCTTCACTGCCTTGTCTGCCAGTCTGGGGGAGGGAAAGCAGCTGCAGTTAATACTTCATCCTGTAACCCACCTGATGGACAGCACGGCAGCTGGAGCAGCCAGAGCTCAGCAGTGACACACAGGGATGGCTCTGAGTGAGCCTTGCTGGCTGTTCCTGGCCAGGAAACGTTGGGACCTGAGATTCTCTGGCAGCCCCTCTGCTCCAGCTGTGCTGAGCGACCAGGGCAGGCCTGCCAGTAAAACCTTCTTCCACAGGAAGGGAACTGGAGGGCTAAGACTACACAGGAAATCAACAGCAGAGTGGAAAAAAACCAATGTACAGCCCTTGTTTGTGTGTTCAGTGCTGGAGAACAGCAGATTGCTGGAGGAATGACCAAATCCAGGGGGTATCAATGACAGAACAGCTTTGTGCTTCTAACTCATACAAGCATTTCTGCAAGACTCTGGGGGAAATCTCTTGTCCTTGAAGAAATGGAGGAATTTCCATTTACTATATCCTTGGTTATTCTCCTACCAGAAAAGGACTTCTGGAAATCCAGCACCTGGGTTTGGAGCAGTAGGAATGCCCTAAAAGGTGCAGAGCTGTGCTGGGACAGCAGCTCCCAAAGTCTGCAGGATTAATCACAAACAGGTTCTGGCAAGGAGGAACCTCCTGCCAGCAGCTCTCATGGGTTTGGAATTTTTGTGCCTGTGCTCCTCAGGTACATGTGCCCCATCATGTGCTGCTTCCTGCTCAACACTCCAGAGCTTTGGAAAAACAAAAATCCATTTTTTTATGCACCCAGGACCAGCTCAGCTGCTGCTGTGAGTCAGCAACACAAGAGGGGTTCCCAGCTGCAACCTGCCCCAGACTGGGGTTTTCTGGGGCAAAAATGAACATTTTGCTGCACTTATTAAAAGGCTCCATTTGTGTGTCTGTGCCCTTAAAACAGACATCTTAGTAGGTGGCAGTCTGCTTGGGCAGCTCAGCTTAATTATTTAAAGGAAAACCAATTAGTAAAGGTGACTAAATTTCCACGGGATGAAGAGCAACTCAGAGCGAGGCTAATTCTGGCCTCCCAAATACTGCAAGACAGACTTTTCCTTTCATGTGAATGGGTTTGATCTAATTGCAGTCTGCTCCTTTAATTGAAAACTAAAAGGCCCTTGTGGGTTAGGGCTGGTAGTTACCTTCTGGAGCAGCTGTTCCATGCAGGAGCTGCTGGGTTTCACTCCTGCAGTTGGACAGGCACTGCCAGCACTAAGCCACAGACACTGGGGAAGCCTTGCTTCCCTCTGCAGTGTTTTAGAAAGGTCACAGTGGAGAGCAAAGGCAAAACAATCAAAATGGTCTTTTCCTCCCAAATTTCAGATTAAAGCTATGCTGAAAAACACCTACAGGATTTTTTTAGCCAGAATTTGTTGTTCAGTAACAATGAGCATTTGATTCAGTTCTTTGGGATCTGTAAATTTACAAAAACCCAGAACTGGGTTCCATTCTGGGAATTTAATCTTTGGGTTTAAAAAGGAAGTGTTTCCAAAACAAGGGAGGTGCTGAGCATCTCCCCCTGGTACCTGTGGTACCACCACTCCTGGCAGAGCCAGAAGCCCTTTTTGGCTCGATTCTCCCCAAATCTGTGTGACCCTGACTGGCCCAGCTGAGGAGCTGGATAGGCCACAGGACAAGGAATGTGTGGGATTTGCTGCCTTGGAATGAGGGAATGCAGAGCACTCCTGCCCCTTCCCAGGATTTACAGGAGGTTTCAGATCATGAGCAGGTCCTCAGCTTTTTGGAGAAGCACTGGGGTCCCTGCAGTGGTTCCTGGCCCTTGCTGAGATGCACAGGTAGCAGTGAGCCCTTGGGTGTCCCCAGCCTTCCCCTCAGTGTTCTGGGAATGGAGCTGCTCCCAGACAACACCCTGAACGTGGAATGCTAATTTTAATGCTTTGCATGCAGACATTACCCTGGTGTCACAGCCAGTGGCTTCCTCTCTGCCTTCAGCCTACAAATTCAAGATATTGGCACTTATCTGCAGAGCCTTTCACCATCCATCACCCTCTTCCTGATTTTCCACAAGAATACATAAGCACAGAGCTTGGAAATCAGAACTGCCATACTGCTATTTCTGAGAGGCTTTATCAGAGGGAGGCTTTGTGCTCTCTTAGTCTGCAGAGATTAAAGAAAGCCCTTGAATAAACCTTGACATAATTCCTGAGCACTATTTCTGAGCGTGTTCCCCTGAAATTCCAGAGATTGGATGCTTTAGCTGGAAGTTCCTGGCTCTGCCTGTTCCAATATGCTTTTATTACAGCACCTGTGCTTGGGGAAGGAACAGAGCATCTAGGGAGGGTTTAAAAAGCAGCAAACCCACCCTGGGCTTAGCTCTGCCAGCCCAGGGGAAGAGCTGCACCCCCTGAGCCTCCAGGACATGCCCTGGGTCTGTCAGGCTCCCCAGGATCCAGACAGGCTGCAGGAAAGAGGAATCAGGAGCCAGGGGAGCCTGAAAGCAGCACAGAGATCAATGGAGGAGCCCTCTCAGGGCTCTCTGCCTTTTCCAAGAGCACTGGTTCATGCTGGGTTTGTGCAACTACAATGTAATGACTTTATCAAACACCTAATTAATGTCATCAGTATAAAAATGCCCTTTAAGGCGACTTAGAATAATAATGAATTGATTCCTAATTATGACAGCTATTTCAAATCATCCTTTCAGAAACTGGAATTCCCTTTCCCTCTCTGGAAATATTGTGCCTTTGTCAGGCAGGCACAGCCATTTATTCTTGTGCTTCAAGTGCCTGACAGCTGCTATTGATTTTTTTTCTTTTTAAAAAGCAATGGCATTTGACTTCTATTTCTATGTTTCTATTTGAGGGAGGCTGGAGCACTCATCAAAAGGGCCCAGAACGAGCTTCTTTAGGGAGGCAAACAGGGATGAGGCACAGCTCAGAGCCAGCTCGTGGCTGAGTGCTGAGTGGGAGGAGGAAGGAAAAGCATCATTTCCATGGGTCAGCTCATTGATCCACTGCAGGGAACATCCAGAAAGAAATGCTGCTCAGACCAGCCCTGGGGGCAGCTGCAGCCACTCAGGGCCAGGCTGGATGGGGCTTGCAGCAACCTGGGCTCTGGGGGTGTCCCTGGGCTTTGGGGGTGTCCCTGGGTTGTGGTGGCTGTCCCTGGGCTGTGGGAGGTGTCCCTGAGCTGTGGTGGCTGTCCCTGCTGTGGCAGGGGGTGGCACTGGGGGGGTTTCAGGGTCCCTCCCAACCCAACTCAACCCAAGCCAGGCTGGGATTCTCCAGCTCCACAACCCTGAGAGCAAAGGTTACTCAGAGGAGTTAACACCTGGTGTAAACTGCACATGCTCCCCATCAGCTGCGAGTGGCTCTGTGATGGTGACACGAGTGGCCCTGTGATGGTGACACAAGCAGGTATGACAGTGACACGAGCGGCCCTGTGACAGTGACACGAGCTCTGTGCCTGTGCCCCGTGGGGCTGTGTCCCTGCGTGCCCAGCCAGGGGAGGGACTGACCTGCTGGCCCCTCCCGGGGACACCACGCGGGCGTGGGAGGTGACGAGGAGGCGCCGCAGGATGTCCCCGCGGATGGCCCGCCACCTCTCTGGGGGACAGATGTGCAGGGCCAGCACGGTGTAGTAGTGGGGCCCGTCCACCTCGAAGGCGCTCTCCACCCACTTCTCGCGGGGCTGCTCCAGGAAGCTCTGCAGGTTCTTCTCCTCCCGCGAGGTCGCCCGGGTTCTGCAACACAGGGAAAGCGTCAGAGGCTGCTCCAGCTCCAGAGGGCTCAGCCTCTGCTCCCCAGGAGCCCTGGGGTGCTGCCCCTGCACAGGCAGCCAGCTGGGCACCACCAGCTTTGCCCCTAATTCACCCCCTGGCTGACGATTTGCTCCCAGTGGGCACCACCAGCTTTTCCAAAACTCATCCCTGGTTAAGGATTTGCTTCCAGTGGGCACCACCAGCTTTTCCCAAATTCTTCCCCTGGTTGAGGACCTGTCCCCAGTGAAGCAAACACATTTTCCTCAGAGTTGTGGGTGGCACTAGAGGTTTGCCAAACAGCTGCCATTGCCCCAGTGGAAGGTGACACCACTGCAAAGGTATTTTTCACTTTTTTTGAGAAAAAGATGGAGTCAGGCCAGGCACTGGAGTGGTGCCAACTCCCATGGGACACCACACAGCCACTGCAGCTCCTGCAGCCACACCTGGATCCATTTATAAAATTCCTCTATTGCAAAAGCAACCCCTGGGAAATTACAGGCCAAACTCAAAACCAAAAGACACTGCACTTTACTGCCAGCTTATATAAATATTTTATCGTTTTCCTCCTTTCCCTCAGAGCTCCAGTGTCGCAGGAGTCCTGACAGCCCAGAACTGACAGTGGAAAGCGTGTATCACAGGAGACTTTGGGAAGTTGCATCACACTTTGCCACATCTGTGGCTCTACTGCACCAGGCAGAGGCTGCCAGCCAGGTCAGACCTGTGATTCTGAAGTGAGATAAACTCTCCCTATCAGGCACCAAGCACCATTCCAGCAGATGAAGCTGTCAGGGTTGTGTGACCTTTTCATCTGCTAAAAGATGCAGCTGGGAGCCAAGTAATAGCTCTTTATTTTCTCCATTTAATATTAAAAATTCTGTCTGGGATGTACAGAAGGACTTTTTCCACGTCTGCCCAGCGGGTTCTGGGCTCTGTGGTACCAACAGCAGCCTAACAAGATGAAACAAATACTTCCATTTATTTGTCTCCCAAAGGACTGGGAAAACAATAGCACAGGGATCTGGAGAGAGATATTAAAAACAAAAGATAAATTGTATTACAGCCAAAACCTTGATTAGTTCCAGGCAGGAAAGTGAGAGGGGCTTCACTGCACTGCATTTGGAGTGACCTTGGTGTGTATTTTAATATTTATACCCTCATCTAATTAGTATTACTCACTAATATCTAACTCCTCAAATAGAGGATATACATGGGCAGCCCATTTTTGCAGGATCAGAACCAGCTCATGTATTCCAAAGTATCTGGGTGCCTATGGATGTGGCCACGTAGCCTCAGTGCAGTGCCAAAGCACTGCTGTTTATTGGCAAAAAACAATAATGGTAACCCCCCCCAAAAAATTTAAAGTATCAGGAAAATCTGGTGGACCTGAACCCTCCTCCAGAGTATGTCAAATCTGGAAACAAACCTGTTATTTGAACACTGAATAAAATTGTACCAGGGTTAAGTTTTCAACTAACAATTATTTCATCGCAGTGTCTCTTCTGCCTGCTCAGGAGAAAATTAAGCTGGCAGAGTTTCTTTAATGTAATAACCCCGTTGCTCACCCCAGAGGTAATAATTACATCTAGGATGGAAAGAGAAGCTAATTCCCAATTGCTTTTACTCAATAGGTTCCCTGTTATCCGGCATGTCCAGGCTTCACTCCCAACAATGCAAATCCTTAACAACCTACTTAGATGTGCAACCCTCCCAAAACTTTGTGTGATTTCCCATCTCTGCTGGCCCGTGCAGACAGCAGAGGCAGAGCTGTGGGAGGGCAGGGGGGTGGCACTGACGTGTTGAGCACATAGAGCACGGTGTGGATGATGTAGGGGATGAGGTGGATGTTGCTCTCGCGGCCCCCGCCCCCGGTGTCGATGCTGAACGACTGCTCCATGGCGAAGCGCAGGAACAGCAGCTTGATGTCGTGCACGTTGAGCTGGTACGTGGGCTCCCTCTGCCCCGTGCACTCCTGCAGGTACGTGTTGTGGCTGCAAAAGAGCAGGGAGCTTTCACAGAGCTGCTGCTGCCACAGCACAGCCCAGGAGCCCAGCAAGGATGGCACAGAAACTCACAAAGGCAGCCTGCTACCTTGGATTAACCTCCCCAAAGGGAGCCTTTCAGCTCACTCTGGCAAATCCAATTCCATCTGCAGATATCTGTCCACCCATCAATACTGTTTTCCCATGCCCAGGACCTGGGATACAGCTCCCTGGCTGAAATGATTCCAGGATATTAACACTCTTGATTCCACAGAATCCTAGAATGGTTTGGGTTGGGAGGGACATTAGAGATTGTCCACCCCCTGCCATGGGCAGGGACACCCTCCACTATCCCAGGTTATTCCAAGCCCTGTCCAACCTGGCCTTGGACACTTCCAGGGATGGGGCATCCATAACTTCTTTGGGCATCTTGTGCCAGTGCACACCCCTTCACAGGGAAGACCTTCTTCCCAACATCTGATCTACACCTACCCCCTATCAGGTTCAAAATTTCTAATGTGATATTACAAACCCAGCACAAGGTAAACCAGAATCCTGACATCAGCATCTCCATCTGCTCCAGACAGGTGCTCAAGGACCTCAGTACCATCCAAGAGAAGTCTGGAAATCTACACCAGGGAATCCACTGGCATCAGAAGGTTTCTTTTGTGCAGTATGGGCTCACTGGGCCACAAATGAATCAACATTGCATCTTCAGTTGTGACTGGGGGCTAAGGAGGCTCTGAAATTATTTACATGAAGCCAAGGAGCAAACAGACATCTCTACTTTTTTGGGAGATTCACTCTTGATGGTAGAACCTGAAATGGCTCCATTTTACCAAGACTCAGCTGCTCCACCTCTGATTCCAAGATTTCAGGGGAGTGTGTGGCAAGGATCTGACTCACCCAGATGCAACCAGCTGGGCAAGAACCTGTCTGTACTCACCGTGCCAAGCACGTGGCAAAAGCAGACTCTGGCACGTGGGGCCCCCACACTGGCAGGAGCCCATTGCACTTGGTGTTGGCATTTTGCAGGGCTGCACTCTCCCACTCCTCGCGGCCCCGAGCGAGTCTGCACAGAGAAAGAGACAAGAGGCAAATCAGGAGGATGTAAGCTTTTGTCTCAGGAAATATCCCAAAAATGACAATTCCACAACTTCTCTCAATGCTGGACTTGGGAGAGTCCAAGCCTGAGCAGTGTTAAAACAGACCCTGATGGAGAACCCCTGCAAAGTGATCAACAACCCAGCCCACCCAGCCCGAGTTCCATGGTGATCCCAAACCACCTGGAAAGGCCTGCAGCCCCAGGCTGTGGGCAGCACGTACCTGACAGCTGCCAGGTGGCAGTCGTAGTGCACGATGTTGAAGTGGGACACGGTGCTGTAGCCCTGCTGCTTGCGGGGCTTGTTCTCAAACTCCTCGAGCGCCACGCGCTTGGTGAAGGTGTAAATCCCCAGCACCTTGGTGGGCTGCAAGGACACACAGCTGCCTGAGCAAGCACTCAGCTCTGCAGCAGGGCACATCTCCTGCTCTCTCCACACCACAGCTGCCTGAGCAAGCACTCAGCTCTGCAGCAGGGCACATCTCCTGCTCTCTCCACACCACACTGAATTGAACTTCTCCCAGTCCCAACCTCAAACTTAAACTGGTCCTGTGTTTTTCCAGCTTTCACAGAAAACACACTTCTACTTCCAAGCCACCTCTGGAATTACTGATCTCAAGAACCAACCCTGAGAGTTCCTGATCTTCCAGTGCCAGCACTTGTGCAACCAGATACTGTCAAGTTCCCTTGGGAGCTGAGAGGGCTCTGAAAATGTGTCTCCCTTCACCTGGAACTTCAATCTCCCATCACCATTACCTGGAACTCTTAGCTCCCACTACCTGGAATTCCTAGCTCCCACTACCTGGAACTTTTTTAGCTCCCACTACCTGGAACTTGTATCCCTCCCGGCAGATGCAGCAGGTCAGTCCTGGCTCCTCTATCAGCTCCTCCATCTGTTTAAGCAGCGCAGTCTTGGTCACCACCTGGCCCTTCTCATTTGTCTGGAAGAGAGAAAAGCTCAAGCAGGTTAAAAAGAATGACAAACCACACCACACTGGCACTGGAATGCCCATCCCATCTCCCAGCAGCTGTGTTCCCTTCTGGCAGCACCAGGCAAACCAGGGGGGCTGGAGCTCTGCAATACCCATCAATAAATCCCTTCACACCCTTCCTGCTGAGGCAGCCTGAGCAAGGCAGGAAGAGAAGCCCCTGAATGAGCAGAGCACCCAGCCATTACCGTCATGCCCAGGGTGCCCAGGGCCTTCTGCCTCATGGCCATGGCCATCCTCTTCTTCTCAGCGCGCGTCTCCTTCCGCGCAGCGTCGATCTTCTTGTTCACCTCGGGGTGCTCCCTCAGAGCCTCCAGGAGGTTCTCTGCCAATGTCCCAATGCCTTCGTCACTCGACACCTGCTCCAGTTTGTGCAAGTTGGAGATGGAGTCTGTTCCTATTAGCACCTGGTGGGGGTGGGAACACAGCACTGCTCAGGAAAAGGGGACTCGGGACAGTGACTGTCCCCTCTAATCCCAGAGGACAGCTGGGGAGAGCACTGAGCTGCAGCAACTGTTCCTTCCTTTTTTAATGCTCCTGGGCCCTAAAAGCTGTGTGTAAGTCTGGGGCAATTTACCTCTCTACTTGTCATTACCCGCTCAGATTGGGATGTTGGATAAAACATTTATTTTGCGATGAGACATTGTACTGATGTCTTCAAACACCAACAATCACGTCCTGAGGAGCTTATCAATAATTACCTTCTCTTCACACTGGTGTGTCAATCTCACACCACACAGCAGGAGGCAATATTCAAATCAGAATCTCTGACTTTTCCAGATGATGCCTGAAACTGCCCAGCAGAAGCTCAAGGCATCAAGACAAAGACACAAAGTCACGTTCCCAATCTTGTCATGTGACACAAAACTCAGAGGATGCTCTGCAAAGGCAGAACTTGCCCAGGGAATACCTGAACAGCTTCCACACCTACGTCTACTTTGAGATTCCCAAGAGAATTAACAATTAATACAAGAATTTCACATTCTTATAAGAGGTAAGAGGTAAGTTCTCTCAGGAGAACTGGATTTTCTCTCTGCTTTATCCCCCAAAGAGAATTCTCTTTAAGACTAGAACCAAAACCTTCCGGCAGAGAAAAGTTGTGAGCAAAACTGTTCCAACTATGGTGAAGATGGGAAAACAAAACCCAACAGAAGTCCGTGTAGAACCAACTCTTAGAGGAATTACTGCTCAGCTGCAGCCCCAGAGCAGAGTGGCAGTGCAGGCACGTGCCCTGGCCTCACCTGTGTTGCAGGATGCTGCGTCGCGAGGCCTCGGAGCAGGCGCAGGATAAAAGGAAGTGCAGGTCGAGATAAGAACCTCTTCCATATGTCTGCATCCAAACTGCATGGAAGACAAAAGGCAGCAGCTGAGGGGAGTGTCCCAGACAGCAGCATGGCTCCAGGCTGCAGGGAACACTCCCTCCCCTGTGTCCCTCCTCAGCTCATTAATGAAGGGACAGTCACACTCCCACTTCCATGCTGTGCACAGCCGCAGTGCCAGCTCTGAGCCTGGGGATTTGTGTTCATGAGTTGGCTACCAACAGCAAAAACTCTCTTGCTGTGCAACAGGAGGGAACAGGCAGGAAACACAAGGATTGAGATATCCAAGAAATCAGCTTGGATGGGTATCAAATAGGAAGATTTCAGGGTTTTTAGCTCATTCCTATACGTGCACTGCCTCACCAGACCTCTGCATCACAGCTCTGAATGTTCCTGAATGGGCACTTGTTCCTGGATTTCTTGGGAGATTGTGGTGATGGGATGAGGAGGATGTACAGGACAGTCACACACATTAACCACACACACTAAATAGTGACTCTTACTTCTTTGCACTTGGAATGTGCTTTTTCATGTAATCCAGGGCATTCTGTGTAATCCCCTTCTGTAGGATGAGATCTTTCAGCTGGTGGCCGTTGCTGTTGTTCTTTATTCCTGCTGCTATTTTACAGAAGCAATCCAGGAAAACTTTATCATCTCCACTGTGCTCCTCATCATACCTGAACAAAGAGAAGAAATGGTAACTCTGCCTGTAATTCTCACTGAATGGCGTACCTGCCCCAGCTGAGAGACTCAGAAAAGCTACTCAGGCTCTTGTCACCTCAAAATACTCTCTGAAGACCTATTACTCAAGCTAGAGCTCACACATTTCTTTCAAAAATGGCTCAGAAGTGAAAGAGGAAATGAAGCTGAAGCCTGGCATTAGACTGGAGTAGCATCAATGAGGAAATGAAGGCAGAGACGTGTCAGCAGAACCCATTTCAGGTGCTTTTAGCTGAACTGTGCCAACGTACTTATCAAAGTTACAGTAGGGCTTGAAGCGATCCACCAGGATCTGCATCTTCTCCATCTCCCCGAAGGACAGGTAGGGGATGATGCGCAGCAGCCCCTGCAGCACGCTCAGGTTGGAGCGCACAAAGGTGCTGTTGATCTGGTCCAGCAGCATCACCAGCTGGTCCTTGTCCCCCGTGAGGAGGAGGTTGCCCTGTGAAGGAAGAGCAGCAGGATTTATATTCAATAAATCTACAAGAAAATTCTCACTCTGGGAGCTGGTGGACTACTCCAGTTGTGAAGGGGTAGTCCCTGATAAAAATACAACTCAGTCTCGTTCCCAGAGGTCTCGTGGAAGGGCTGCACCAACCCCTCTAGCTGACACCTGGCTTATTCCACGTGCTGTTAAAGCATTTTCCAGCCAGAAGTCTAATAATTCCAACCCAAAGCACACCAGATTCCTGTTCAGCCACAGCTTCAAAAGATGAGTGAGAAGCTCTTCTTGTTCTCAGTCTAGATGAGATACAGTTTTATTCTCAATTAGCTGGAAAATCAATCATGTTTTCAACACATACAAAAACACTCCAAAGAACAAGGCCAAGCTGTGTCTTTTCTTGTCTCTCACTGGCCCGTGGCCCAACACAGGCAGGAAGGGATCCAAGCAGTGCCTAACAACCCTCACCCCGCCGTGCAAGACTCATCCTGATGCAGCCTCGCAGTGCTTTTGGTTCAGGGCCCTCCTCGAGCCCTTCCCCAAGGCCTGCTAAGACCTGCCAGAAGTGTAACAAGGGTCAGACTCTATCAGCACTCCCCTCCAGCTCCTGGAGCTCAGCATCCCTGTGAGCAGGGGTGTGCAAGCCTTGAACCCCAGGGAAAGGGGCCATTTACCTTGTCCTCGCTCAGGGGCTCCGCGTTGGATTCATCCAGAATGATCTCCATGATGCTGAGCACCTGCTCTGCCACTGCTGCTCCCCCGCTGTCCTTGCTCTCCTGCTCAGCCACCAGAGCCTGCAAGACATGGGAGTGCTCAGGGGAACAGCAGCAGTCACTGGTTTGAGGTGGGAAGGGGCACTGGAACAGCAGCAGTCACTGGTTTGAGGTGGGAAGGGGCACTGAACACCAGCTGGTTTAACTGCCCCCCACACTCCCACCCATAAAAGATAAGGAATGTCCAAAGGATAATTTGCAGCGCCAGCACAGCAATATTTCCCATCTCCTAAGCTGTCACAAGGCAGCAGGGCAGTCAGAAGCAGCTTAAATTCACTGGAATCCATGGAAAAAACACTTCTGGAAGTCGAGGCTGTCCTTACCAAGTTGAGAGTCCCCAGCATGACATTCAAAGTGTTCATCTCTGGCTTGACCAGCTGCTGCCGGTTTATTTTCACCTTCACACAGTAACTGAAGAGTTTTAACAGCACCTGCAAAATACAGCAAAGGGATTCTCTGTGGGACCTTCACAATGAGGGGGGATTTTGCTGAAACTAAAGTAATAGTTCAATACAATAATACACCTGATTTCCAGACTTCTGGGATACAGTACACCCCAGATTTTCACATATATATATATATATCTATATATATCTATATCTATATATCTTAGCACAGCTTTGATTTTCAGATATGGCCAAGGCAGAAAACAATTCCTCCAACAAGACAGGATTTGGTCTTACCAACTCCTCAGGTTCTCGACATTTCACGTTTTGTAAGGAATTGTTACCCAAAAAGAACAGGAGAGGGTAAGAACTGTTCCAGCTCAAGGAAGATTGTCCAAACCTCAGGGATGTCTGTGGAATTTTCCACCCCACAACTCCTGAGCCCGGTGCCAAAGGGAGACTCACGGTTAAGAGGTGCCGGCCCTGTTTGAAGTCCTTGATGCCAGTCAGTCTGTTGAGCATGCACTCCAGGCCTCCACATGGGGCCATCACCCCTGCCATCTTATACACTTCTTCCTCATCCTCCTCCTCATCTGCAGGACAGACACAGGTGATGAAGACAGAAGCAACCACAGCAGGACACGCTCGTGCAGTAGAAGCAGAAATGGAGAGCAGAGCAGCACACATTTCCCAGCAATTCCAATCACTTCAGTTGTATTGAATTCAAAAAGAATTAAGAGCAGGGATATGAAGAAGGGCTGGGCAGAATGGTCCCCATGCCAAGCAAGTGCTCACATCTGAAGCACAGCTTTAAAGCGCTGTTAAAATCCTCCTTCACTCGAGGTGAAGCAGGTAAATGCAGCAAAAGCAACGTCAATCAACTTTAAGCTCACTGCTGTGAGGATAATAATGTCATTGCTCTGCAGCAAACCTCAGACTTCAAATCTAATCCCAGCTTTCAGCAGACAAATGCATTACCAGTGGTGGAGTCGAGGGACTCGATGAATTCCTCCGTGGCATCTCCCAGTAACCCCCGCATGCGGTAAATGATCCTCATGGGCTCCCCCTGCAAGAGCAGAGCTTTTTATTCATTCTGTCTCTGGGCACTTGTACACAAGCCTGGTTCTGGTTTCAGTGTGTACTGACACTCCAGCCCCAGCTCTCCCTCGTGCTGTTCCACCTGATGATGGTAGCACAGAGAAATCTTTCACTCCCTCATTCTCCCCTTCCTGAGATGAATTAAAAACAACAGTAGAGCCACCTGCAAAAACATCAGTAACTCATCCCTTGGTCTGCCCAGCTTTTCCTGGCACTGCCAATTGATTGACAGACTGGTGATAAACAGTCTCTTCCTCCTTCCATCTCCTCCAGGTTTCCTTTAGCACCAGTGAAAGATGCAGCCAAGGAAAAGGGGTTCATCTGCAGAGGAACACCTGCTTTCCATGGTAACCTCTCCTCTGAGGGTTCCCTGGGAAATACAGGGAACAGGCACAGCCCAGGAAAGGATAGGCTAATTGGATGAAAGCTTTCAAATAGATAAAATCTGCAGTGATGGCAAATGGAAGAGGAGTAAAAGGCAATTTAATGAGCTTTCAGTAAGACAGTGCATCACTGATACAGCCAAAAAGCTGTGCTTTTACCCTGAGAAAGGGACACTTTTCCAGATGCATTTCCAGCTGGAAATACTGACAGCATATCATGAAACTTTCCATTTTTAATCCATAGGTCTGAATAAAAAGCAGAAAAGAAAAATCCCAGATTTGGGAGCAGGAGACCTTGCAAGAGAAAACCTGTCAGGGATCGTGCTAAGCCTAATGTGGAATAAGCAGTGCTTAATGTCACAGCAAATACATAAGCACAGGGAAAGCCCCGGGGGGAAGATCTGCTCAAAGGCCTCGCTGGCGACCAGCAATTAACACCACAGGGGCCCTGGTAAAACGGCAGATGAACAAAAAAAGCCACTGAGAGACAAGGGAAACAAAAAGGGGCCTGAGGTTGCGTTTCTTGTGAGCCTGTCGCTCCCAGGGAACGGGAGCTGCGGCTCCAGGAGGTGCTCACAAAGGAAGACAGATGAAAGCTGTTCATCCACAGGAATGCTGAGCAAACTCTGCCTTTCACCAGCAGAGCTGCTTCCCTCCCGGGAGAGCTGCACGCTGGCTCGAGCCCGGCATCCCACGGGAACAGCTCCTCCAGGGGCAGCATGGGGAACATTCCCACCAGTGACTTGATGAGAATTCTAATCAGAACTCACAGATTAACACCAGCACCTCATCTCCCTTTCCAAGTTGGTATCTTGCTAAAAAATGATCACTGTCACAAGGTTTGGGCTTGATTTTGCAGTACTGAAGGCTTTGTTCCTGAAATAAAGCTTAATGAGACCCATTTGATCATCATTCACTGCTAACTGGAACTTTGTTTGAATTCTTCACACAAATGGCTTCAGGAAATGGAGGTTTCAAAGGTGATTTGAGGCCAGGAGGAAATGAGGAATGACCAAGAAATTCAGGGCAAATCAGTCTTGTTTTATGAACTCAAGTGCCTCTAAAAATATATTTGTAGTGGCCAAGGTTGAACCTGATTGTCTCAGTGGGAGTTTATTTTAATGGTCACAAGGAAAGAAGGGAAGAGCTTGTTCTGGACCACATCCACCTCTGGAACAAGCTTAGTATGACACGGTGGACTGGACCCTTGAGACTGCTGGGTCCATTTCTTCATGTGACAAACACACAACTATGAACACACATAATATGAAAAGCAAAAAAAGGATAAATCTGCCACATGCTTGAGCTCCTGATGAAAAAAATGAGAGCAGAAATGCAAATATGGAGAAGCACTGGATGCTCTGTGCACAAATAACTTGGGTTCACCCCAGAAACACAGACTGATGGAGCAATCTGGTGTCCCTGTGTGCACACACACAAAACTTTTGTGTGCAGATGGAGTGTGAAATATGCTCTGAAAGGCACTGAAACGTTCAGCTCTCCCCAGGGGAACACAGGGAAGGCTGTTCCTCAGCAAGAGTCACGTGTGACACAGGACACAGCTCACCTGGGGCAATGCTCTGCAACAACTCACGTTGCAGGGCCATGCACAATCTGTCCTAACAGAGCACCAAAAGCTGCTGAGCAGTTACACCCAATAAATTACATGCCAGGAAATAAATCCTGACGCGTGTGATTTTGATTTTTCCCCATTTTTTTTGTTGATGTGAAGGACAGGTGCTCTGTGCTGTTAACTTGTACAAAGGTAGCACACACCTCATTTGTGGGACACCACACCTTCTTGTAGACCTCAGCCACAGGCAGATCCAGACTGATGATCTTGTTGTTCACCAAAAGCTGAAAGGGAGAGAAGAACAAGTCAAGAACAAGCTCAGGTTGTTACATCACCACCCCAGCAACCACCAGCTGCCCAAAACCAGCATCCCACAGGTCTGTGCAAGAAATCCCCACCTCAAGGAATTCTCACCTCCATGCCACTGTCATCCTCCAGCAGAGCCACCAGGTCACAGTCCTGGCAGATCTTGTTCTTGATGTCCCTCATGAGGGGCCCGATGCCAGGCTCGTTACTGCTGTAGGGATTCCCTGGCATCCTGCCCTGCAGGAAGTCTTCCTGCTGGGGATCTTTCTCCAGAGTGACAAAGAACTCAGTGACTTCATTCTCCTCCTAAAGAGCAGCAGCAGAGACAGAGTGAATAAGTTTTTCCCTAACCACACTCCCATTCCTGCATTTTTGTGGCAGAATATTCTTAAACCTTCAGTCCTTTCCCCACTGGTGCATCTGCTCTGCATGCCACACTCAGAGGATGGCCAGGATCACTGAGCAACCAAATTCCTAAGGAAACCTGAACCCAAAGGGGATACACTGGGGTCTACACTGGCTAATGGTGAATCATGACTGCAGACACTGGTGCTCCTGGGAAAAAGGAACCAGATCCAGGGTTGCTGGAAGTGGTTGGTGGTGATTCTCCTTCTCTATCATGAGACCCCACCTGGAGCACTGCACACAGTTCTTGTGACCCTCAACAAAAAAGGACATGAAACTGTTAGAGCAAGTGCAGAGGAGGCCACAGAGTCGCTCAGGGGACTGGAGCACCTCCCCTATGAAGACAGGCTGGGGCAGTTGGGAATGTTCAGCCTGGAGAGGAGAAGGTTGTGTGGAGACCCTACAACACCTTCCAGGCCAGACAGGGACTTTTTGTCAGGAGCTGGAGTGACAGGACAAAGGGGAATGGGTTCAAACTGAAAGAGGGGAAATTTAGGTCAGATATTGGGAAGAGTGGGCAGGCCCTGGCACAGGCAGAGAAGCTGTGGCTGCCCCTGGATCCCTGCAAGTGTCCAAGGCCAGGCTGGGCAGGGCTCGGAGCATCCTGGGATCATGGAAGGTGTCCCTGCCATGGCAGAGGGGGCACTGGACAATCTTTAAGTCCTTTCCCAAAGCATTGCAGGGCTCTGTTCAGGCAGTGTGACCCTGCCCCACTCACAGGGTAGATGATGCTGCAGAGCCTCTCGAAGATGAACACCGGGGTCCTGTAGTCGTCGAGGCTGTAACGCTTGGCAGTCTCTATGCACACGGCCATGAACGCCTTGGTCTCTGACTCTGTGCCTGCCAAGAAAAGGAAACTTTAAAATGGACACTGGAGGCAATTTTATAGATTCCACTTGAACTCAGAACACGCAATAAATCCTTCTGCAGCCAGCCCCACAATTTGGTGCTCTCTTCTTTTGTGAATCCACTCTGTGAAAGACGGAAGGTATTTATTTGGTAGGGTTACTCTGCATGGCTGGGCTGCAGTAAAACAGCCCCATAAAAATGAGAAGGCTGAGATTCCTGGAAAATAAGAGGTGACTAGGAACAATATTCAACTGTTCTGTGCCAACAGAAAATACTGGAAGCCATAAACCCCCTGACTACAGCAGTCATTTAGAGAAGTTCTTTGTGTGGCTGTTCTGCTTTTCCACCTTTGCTGATCCCAAGGCTGGATTTACGGAGCAGAGGTGGTTTTACCTGTTGTCATGTCCTCCAGCATCTCCAGCAGCATGTCCTGGGTCTCATCAATCAGCTTTGTCCTCTGCACCACCAGCTTCCTCAGGCACAGGTAGCCATTGAGCACCGTGCCCACCAGCCGGCTCTTGAAGTGCCTTTTGATGGACTCCACCTCCACAAAGGAAGAGAGAAGACCTAGAAAGACACAGAAATTCAGCATGTGGGACAGAATTTGATTTCTAAATTTCATAGCAGCAAATAGGGTACAGTATCATAAAAATGGCTTGTTCCAGCTCCCATCAGTCTGGGGTTTAAAGCTCATTCCTGTGAACTGGGTGGTTGCAGGCAAAAGCCTTGGCCTGGCTTGTAGATTGTAACATATGAAAAATAGTTTGGGAATGAGGAAAGGGCCTAAGGAATTTCCTGTGTGCTTGATATAAAATTCTGCACTCTTTGGCATTTTTCTGTCACAAGCTATTCCAAAAGCAGATGACTGCTCCTCTTGCAATATTTCTAATACCTCTGATGATGTGAAATGACTTATCAGTGACATCACCAAACTGGTCACTCCTACAATAAAGTAAAGAATCAGCAAACACAAGGATTCTTTCCCATGACACACTGATCAACATGCTGCTTCTTGCAAGAAGCCAGGCTTTATGGATTCACCCACTAATGGCTGAAGAATGTGAAAGAGGATACAAAAAACAATGATCTAGTTCATGAGGTATTTCCATTTCCAACAAATTTTTGTAAAAGGGTATACACCCTAGAAGATAAAAGAAAAGCTCCCATAGAATAGGAAGGTAAGAACAACAGGTAGGAATAAAGCAGCAGTGTTTACAGTGGTGCCAGGGACTGTACTATGTAATAAAGTGAAATGATGAAGCTTGCCTGGTATGTTACCACAGTTCAAATAAAAACTCTGACCACAAAAAAAATATGGAAAAATCCATTTAGAGATTAAGTGTTAAATCGATGGCAAAAATCCAGTGCTGACAATGGCAACACAGCTGAATGAGATCTCTGAAATTCTACCACAGACTGTTAGAGAACAATGACCACCAGGCTCTAAGCCTGCTGCAGGCCCACTGAATACCTGTGAGACTCTTCAGGGCATATCCCTGCTGCAAATCCGTGCTGAGTGTGGCTTCCTCCAAGGCGAGCAAACGAGCTATTTCCTGAAAATAATTAAAATAATTAACAGCCTGTTAGGCCAAGATGGCCCTGCAATGTCAATAACCATCGGGGTGTCTAACACAGGGTGCAAAGAACTCAGCACAGAAACTGAGCCAGGCACACAGAAAGCACAACTGCAACAGCAGGGAGGGAAGGGGAAAAGGAGAGGAAACCTGCCACAAATATCCCTCTCATTTCCCCCCTGCACCTTCCTGCTCCCACTGCTTGGCTCTAGTGGCCCTCCAGGAGCACTCACAGTCACCACTGATATGGAGAGTGTCACCTGCCTCTTTGGAGTGCAGCAGGGACCCCCACAGAAAACTCACTCTGAACACTATAGACCCAAAGTGCTGCTTCTCCAAAGGCTGTAATTCCCATTTCTCCAGCAATGGCAGCACACCTGATCCTTCCCTGTCCCTAAGGGCTCTCAGAGCCCAGCCTGGGAGCTGCACAACAGCTCCCAGGTGCCAAGGCAGTGCAGCAATATTTACAACCCCCGAGCAGTTAATTAAAGTGCTGAGGAATTCTCCAGCTGGGGCTAAAACCCCCGTGGCTCCCTCTGTTCAGAGGTAACAGCACTGAAGTGTGAACTTGAGAACCTTGGCAGGGTCAGCAACAGGGCACTGAATAAAGGGATGGAATTTCAAAGCAAAAAAAAGCCAAGCTAACAGGTCATTTCCTGCACACAAATCCATACCTTAGTGATGAGGCTGCCAATGTAGGGCAGAACCCCTCTGGCTGCCAGGTAGACCTTCCAGTGGGCAGGTTTGATGAGTTTCTGATATAGGGCCAGGTACTCAGCAGCACATTCACCAGCAATGCTCAGCTCATCCAGGTAGCTGTGAAAGAGAAGCACAAGCTGACAACCCCTTCACAGCAACAAAAGGCATTCATTCCAGCCTAAGGACACTGTGGAAAGGCAGGAAGAGCATCCAGAAATCCATCCTCCCTGTTGTCCTTGCTAACAGCATCACTGATATTCATTACTTGCTGGCTAAATTAGTATTTGTCCCAAAAAGGAGCTGACTGTGCTATCAGCATGGGCTGGGGTAAGCTATGTCACAGCAGGTGGAAAAGAGTTCACCCTATTATTCTGTCATTGAAGAGGCAGGGGAAATGTTGGCCACACAGCTGAACAGCTGATCCTTACTTCTGGAAAAAGTACAGACTGCAAGAGCTCATTGCCAGGCAGCACACCCCAACTCTCCCTAGATCTATACCCTCCCAGCCAGTTAAGTTGAAAAATCCAGCTCAAAAAGACCCCTGAACTGCAGGTATACAGGGAGAGGTGTGAGAAAAGCTGCAAGAAGGGAGAGATTCTGGTAAGAATTGAACACAAACACTCATGGAGCTGCCAGGTGTGGCAGCACAGGAATACCTGGTGAGGAGATCCAGGACCTGCTGCTTCCTGCTGGGGATGGTGGCCAGGGCCTCCACGATGGTGCAGGCAGCCTGCCTGGCAGCCTGGGTGGCAGGAGTGAACAGCACCTGGGGCAGGGGCAGGAAAAGCCAGGTCAGACCCATGGGCACAGCTGAACTTGTGACAGCTCACAAGAAGGCACAACATGAGGGCTGTTGGGTGATCTGGTGGCAGTGTTTTCTTGCTCTCCAAACACTTGGTTCTGTGACAATTCCTGCTCTGCTCAGCACCAAAGTGTTAAAAGAGTGCATGGACCTGCTAGTCCACACACACAGGAAGCAAAGCTTTGCTCCAGAACCTTTAGAAGTGCAGCTCATCAGGCAGGAAGGAGCACCGTGGCAATGAAAGGTTCAGAGTTTAAGAACCCACAGACTCCCAGATCTGTGTCTGATGCAGCATTTCTAAGGGAGCACAGCTGCAAACCTGACTTGGAATTAGAGGCAGTGAGTGCCAGCCTCCCCAAACACCCCTGCAGAGGAGCTGCAGCAAACCACCCACACTGTGTGACTGAACCCTGCCCTGGGCTCTCCCACCTTTACCTGTCTCAGCCAATTGTTGTGTCCCAGCTTGAGATCCAGAGGACAAGTTCTCTTCCCACGGCGACTCATGAACTGCTTCCACTTCCAGACGTATTTTTCTGACAAGTAGAGCTGGTGAAGCTCAGCTTTGCTGGGAGTTTTCCCGTTGGCATCTGCACCTGCAATATTGAGCAGAGCCCAAGAGAACTGTCAGCAGTCATGAACTGCAAACTGCCAGAGTACTTTTGTCTTCCTACTGGAACTTGCCAAACTCCAGCTGGGAACTGAGTGCTTCCCATCTCCTCCTGCTGCCATTTTCACTCTTGTGTGGAGCCATGCTCAATTCCAAGCCTCATGCAAATCCCAGAGCCTCTCTCAAGGAATTTCATCAGCTTTCCAGATGTCTGGTATCAATTTAAGTAAGCAACAGATTTCATTTTTTAGTCCCTGATTGTCTTTGGGCACAGAGCATTTTCTGTTTAGAGTTTGAGGCACACAGCCCAGAAAAGTCAGTGCTACAACTCTAAGGACTAAATGTGAGGATGGAATCAGATGTCACAGGACAGAAGCCAACACAACTCCACAGAAGCACATTCCTTATTAAATTTGGGGACACACATGTTCCTGCAGAGAGCTGCAGCAGGTCACAGGCACAGGGGTTACCTCTGGCAGGGAGGCACTTCTTCCAAGCTTCATACGATGCCTTGGGGTCCCTCTTGAGCCACAGCTGAGCCTGTGCATGGATTTCATTGCTGTAAGGCTTCACAGTGGTGAGAGCATCCATGGGCACATCCTAACAAATAAAAAAGCTCTGTGATTCTTCAAAAAGCCACAGTCTGCTCCCAAAGAGCAGCTCCTGAGGTGAATCACTGGAGCTGGGCCATGAGGAGGCAAATGCAGCTCGTGGACAGCAGGGTAACACAGTGTCTGTTAATGGTGAACTAAGACAGACATTCCAGTTCCTACTGAAATATCAGTAAACCCATCTCTGACATCCATCTGTGATTATCAGACAGGCAGATCAAAGCAGAAAAATACCTTCTCTTCTGCAAATCTAATCCTAAATTAAAATCAACAGCAATCAATATATTTTAATGAGAACTGTAGCTCTATATTTAAAAATCTGAGTCAAAAGTACTTGAATCTTTCAAATTTAGGTAACTGATTCTACAAAGCTGCTGAAAGCCTCAAGTCTGCCCAAAATAACCAAGCTGTGGCTTTGAAGTAGCTCTTTCCCCATGCCTCAGATCTGAGGGGAAAACCCTCAACAGTTGTGGTCAAAGTCACCAAAAGCCAGTGAAAAATAGAAAGTAGTCATCTGTAATTTGCAGTGTGTAAAGACCAGAGTCACAGGGCTTGTGCTTCCCTGGGAACAGTGACCAGGAAAGGCAAGTCCTGGCTTCCTCACAAACTAATTCCTCACTGAGATCAGCATGCCAGACTTCAATCAGCAAATTCTCAATGTTTTGCTCAGCCTCAAGGCAGTACCTTGTTTTTCTTGCTGGTTGGAGCAGGTGGCTTGATGAGCTTCTGGAGGATGCGCAGGCACATGAGGGTGATGTTTTCAACGACCACCGGAGTCTTGATGTTCACTGCCATCAGGAAGAGGCTGAGAGCTAAAAGCAGACAGGGATATTCATTATGCTGTGAGAGCTGCAGACAGGACACACCTCCACAGCTCTAGGCAGCACTGAAGGGGTTTAGAGGTGGAAATGCTGCTGCACTTGCTGGTCCTTGGGCGGGTGCCTGCACTCACCGCAGCGCAGCCGGAGCTCCCAGCAGCTGTCCTCCTTGGAGATGGAGTCTGTCAGCAGCAGCATCTCGTACTGGAGGCTGCTCGCCTGCAACACACAGTGCTCCAGCTCTTGGGGGTGCCCCACTCTCCCTTCTGCCTTCCCAGCTTTAATGAACTCAGGTTCAAAACACATGGATCTAAGTTAGCTTAATCCCATGCACACTTGGGGGACACGACCTGCTGCAGAGGTACAAGCAAAGACAAGACAGGGAAACTGTCCAAGACAGGGAACTGCCTGAGGAAACTTCAGCATGTACCTGTACACAAAATTTTGTGTTGTACTCTGACATTTATGTCATTTCCTATCGAAACTCAATTTTTTTTCTTACAAACAGACCATAAGAGAGAAGATGCAATGATTAAAATACACCAGCAGTGCAGAGGGGCAGAACAAAGAAACAGGAAAACACAGAGTCTCTCACCAAGTCTGGATTTGCCCAGTGTCCCTTCAGAGCTGCAGAAACCTTCCCAATGATTAAATCATTCATTTGCTGTGTGGCCTCTGGATTGTCCCTGATTCCAGGAGGAAAAAGACAACACTGTTATGCTCTGCTTGTACTAAATGCCAAAAGCTCCTAGGATTGCAGCTCAACTGGTAACAAGTGCACAGGGAGCTGGAGGTTACACTTTGCTGCTGTACAACACACCCATGGCAGGGATGGGACTCTGAGGCCCCTTCCAACCCAGACCACTTTGTGATTCTAAGGTAACTCTCCCCATGAGGCTTTCCCTTCCTGAGGGGGCTTTCCTGATGCCTTTTTGGGACTACCCTAAAACAGAGGCCAGACAAAATTAAGGGAATAAAAAGTGGCTGTATTTACTGAAGGGCCTTCAGGTACATCTCAGGCAGACAAAGCCCCCCAGAGGCTGCACCCAAAAATGGAGCACGACTCATGGTTTTCACACTTTTATAACTTTGGTCCATTTGCATATTGGGGGCTAATCCTCCAATTACAGCTTCAGCTAATGAAGTCATTTACCCCAAGTTTGCCCCCCCAGCTCCCTTTTGTTTAATCTCTCGGGGCCTGAGGCAGTGAGTGTCCTTGATTGCCAGGCCTGGAGAGGAATTGCTGTGTCTGCCCAAAACGGGAGAACAGCAGCTGCCACTGCGTGTGGAGTTCGGAGTTCTACACTAAAGAACTGCAGGGTCACAAATACATGGAAAATACAAAAGCTGAAACCCTCAGGCACCATTCCCAAGGACGAGGCTCTCCCCAGAGCAGCTCTCACCTGGTCAGGAGGCACATGAGCTGCCGCACCTCCTCCCGCATGGCGGCCGCGCCCCGGCGCAGGTTGTAGTCGAAGAGCTCTCGGATGAGCCCCTGCGCCACCAGGATGTGGCGGATGGCCCCGTTGGTGGCCAGGGCCCGCAGCAGGGTGATGCAGTGCTCGGTGACAGCCGAGGCACAGCCGTAGCACTTGGTGGACGAGGTGTGGCCGCAGCCCAGCACGGACAGCGCGCGGTACTGGCTGGCCGTGAAGGTGGGCAGCGCCGAGCTGCGCGAGGACTTGGTGGCCGCCTCGCGCTGCTGCAGGTCGTACTCCAGCAGCTCCTTCCGGGAGGCAAACACTTTCTGGGAACACAGACGGGGAACTGTGAGCCAGCACGCAATGCTGCTCCCACACACAGGTTATTTTCACTGCTTGTTTTGGGAGAAATATTTTTGAGAGGAATGAGGGGGTCTGCTGGTAGATAAAACCAGCACTGGGAGATAAAAGAAACAATGGGAAGGGTTCCATTGATTGATGAATGGAAAAAGATATTTGCCTTTACAAATAAACTTATGGTTTGCTGATAAATGAAATTGGATATTGAAATATGAAAGAAACAATGAGGAAAAATCCTAAATTCCGTAAGAATCAAAAATTAAAAGGGAGGGTCATATATCAGAGGGAAATCTTTGGTATCAGGCGTTCTGGGAAGTCTGTACCTCTCAAGTACCTCAGCCAATGGGGAAAAAGAGAAGGGAAATGTGACCAGAAAATTAGGATAAAAAGGAGGCTGGGTCCTCCAAAAATTGGAGAGACCCTAGGGGAATGCCCCATGGCCTCTCCCTTTATCTGAATAAAGCAGAAGGACTCCTCTGTCTCCTTTTTGGACATAAACCTCTGGTGTTTGTGCATTAATTTTCCTGACATTTTTAGCCAAGTGCTTCCAAACTTGAAATCCTTCATGGCAAGAGGAGACTTGGAAAATCCATGAGGAATATCAGCCTAACTCTCGTTTATCACAGAATTCACAGAATGACTACGTTGGAAGAGACCTTAAAGACCATCAAGTCCAACCCAGCCCCAACATCTCAACCCTGGCACCCAGGGCCACATCCAGGCTTTGTTAAACACATCCAGGGATGGGGACTTCACCACCTGCCCTGGCAGACCATTCCAGAACTTTATCACTTTATCCTCCCTGCTGTTTACACTACATGCAATGTAACACTGGAAATGTGACAAATCCACAGTATTAATTACTATTAATATTGGCAGAGTAAGTCAGAGTAATTTATTCTTTACAGAAAGAGCCAAATATATTTAATATGCTTAAATATCACAGCCAAAAGGACACTCACGATGTAGCAGGTTTTCCAGTGTTTATGTGACTTGTGGAGCACAAATAAATACATTTAATTTATAAAACACTTCTGTAGGTCACCTTTTAGACTGGTGTGTTTTCAAACACTTGATACATGCAAAAATTCAATTCTCTTTAATTAACCATCTGTTCAGTCTCTTGCTCTTCATGATGTAGCTGCTGAGAAAACCAGTTTCACAAGCTAGCTGAAATTCTAGTAATTAATACATAGCTTTTAGAAATTATTATTATTTCCCTGAAAATATGCAGCTGATCGCCTGCTGTTAATGACATCATTAAATGAAGAATGGCAACATCTGGGTTTTTTTTTCCCTAATAAACACCTGGCCCAAATCCAAACCAAAGCACACTGTACCTGGATGATTTTGGAAAGTTCATCGAAGGAGTTCTTGCAGTCCCCACAGTACTCCTGGGCTAACTGCAGGATGTACCTGTTCACACTGGCTGAGGTAGAACTGATCCCTCCACTGCTGCTCGACTCATCCTGGAACAGGGGAAAGCAAAGAGGAATCACAAAGGGAGGCTCCACACAAAAACAACAACAGCACAGCAGCACCTGAGGCAAGGACTGCCTTGGGCAGAGCCAAGGCCAGTGTGTCCCCAGCCTGAGCTCTGTGCAAGCTCCACCTGGCCCTGGTTACCTGGGGCTTTTCAGGGGCTGCCTCGTTCACTTTGCACAGGAGGTTCTCCAGCTGTGGTCGGTGTCCCATCAGCTGGTGATACACCCTGTCAGCCTTGTCCAGCAGAGTGTTGATGTTTGTCACTGCCTACGAAGGGAAAAGGAAACTTTTATTTAATTTCCAGAACTACAGCCATCAAGCTCCAAGTCTTCTCTTTTACTTTTTTTTTGGTGGGGGAATCTCTGAATTGTGACCCTGCAGCCTGGTTCTGCCCTGAGAAGCACTGTGGTGACACAAATGAGCACACCCTGTGACACTACACCGAGCACACTGATCCTTTGGGACAGGACAGAGTGCACAGGGCTCCTCAGGTGGGCTCGGAAGCAAACACAAGAACCCAAATCCATCCCCTTCTACAGCAAGGCAAAGAGATGCAGTCAGTTCATAAGTGAGGCACTGACTGATGTTGTTTGAAGAATTACTTCTCTGGTGGAGCAAGACACAAACCCAGAATGCATCGGTCAGTGAGGAGCCTTGAAGGAGCACTGATTTTGACAGGGGATGGAGCCCTGCTGTCCCCACAAGAGGAGAGGGAGCCCTGCTGTCCCACAGTGGCCCAGAGCTCCAGGGTCTCCTGGCAGCCCCACCTTCTTGCGATCCTCCTCGTTCTCGATGGGGTCCACGGCGCAGCAGGGCTTGGCGTAGAGCATGAAGTCGAAGCGGGCGTATTTACAGAAGCCACAGGCATTGCACAGGAAGGGATCCTTCTCATCATAATTGATGGACCTGAAAGGAAGGCAGCAGCTCAAAACCTGCAGCTCAAGGCAATGGAACAAACTGAACAGACTCAGGTAAAAGAGATGGGTGACTTAAAACACCTCGGTGACCAGACTGCCCTGGGGAAGGGAAATACTTGAGAATCAAAACCTACAGATCAGGCAACAAAAAACGTCCTCCCAGCAGTGCCACGTTCTGGCTGGAAAAAGCAGGAACAGAAATTGTTCCTAACAATTCCACTTTAATGACAGTAATTCCCAGTAGAAAGTCAGGCTGGGGCACTGTGTCCTTTGGTAGAACACAGATGAAGGAACTGTTCTGGTTTGTAGGGTCTGGGCTTTGCAGTGGGACTGACTGCAGTGCTTCACCCCACTGCAGAGCAGGGCAGCAGACAGAATTGATTTATAGATCCCAGAGCTCCAGAAGGGATGTGGAAACCTTTCCACACACCAGCAATCACCAGAAAAGAGCCTGCTAAACACCTCGAATCCCATGAGAATTAGAGATGAATAGGGACAACAATGAGGGGAAAGAGATATCAGATAAGGAGACAAAAGTGACAAAAGAGAAGGATTTCTAAGGCTGTAGCAGAAGTGTGAATAGCACACAGTAAATTACCCCTGAGCCCGCTCTGAATGAGGAGAGCACAACAAAAGCCATGAATAGAACTGTCTGTCCAGCCCAGCCAGGGATCCTGGGGGAAGCCCCGCAATCCCCCAGATGAACTCCAGCCTCCAGCCCAGGCAGGCCAAAAATAACCTGCTCCGGGGAATTCTGTGGTGTGAACTTCCAGGGCTGGATGTGAAACTTCAGCTGGCTGAGAATTGTGCTCCCAGGCTCCCTTTGTTAGCCTGCATTACATTAAATCCCTGTAAGCCTGTTTTATACTTCCCCACTAATTTGATTGTGTGCTTGTATTAACCAGAATGGGGGATTTACATGGCAGGGGGTGTGGGGCACCCGGGAGGGCTCTAGGGGACACACACACCTGCATTTGTGGCACTGCTACATGCTCTGGAGACACACAGTGACACCCACAGACCTGCAGCTGTGACACTGGTAGACATTCTGGGAACACACAGGGACTTTGGGGGCACACACAGTGACACCCACAGACCTACAGATGGGGCACTGGTAGATGTTCTGGGGACACACAGGGACTTTGGGGGCACACAGTGACACTGGGGACACCCACAGACTTGCACTTGTGGCACTGCTACATGCTCTGGGGGCACTAAGGACACCCAGTGACATGCTGGGGACACACATGGTGACTCTGGGGACACCCAATGACACCCTGGGGATACACACAGACCTGCACATGTGGCACTGGTAGATGTTCTGGGGGCACACACAGTGACCCTGGAGGCACACACAGTGACTCTGGGCACACTCAGTGACACCCTGACCTGCACTTGTGGCACTGGCAGACGTTCTGGGGGCACACTCAGTGACACACTGACCTGCACTTGTGGCACTGGCAGACGTTCTGGGGGCACACTCAGTGGCTCTGGGCACACTCAGTGACACACTGACCTGCACTTGTGGCACTGGCAGACGTTCTGGGGGCACACTCAGTGACACACTGACCTGCACTTGTGGCACTGGTAGACGTTCTCGCCGCAGTTGCCGCACACGCCGGGGTTGGCGGGCACCGAGGCGCTGCAGCGCGGGCACTGCAGGGTCTCGGTGGACGCCTGGTAGTTCTCGTAGAAATCGGCGAACTCGATCATCAGGTTGGAGGCCACGATGGGCAGGGGCAGATCGATCTTCACCTCCGTCTGCCCCGGCGTCAGCTGCACCTTCTTGGCCTTGTGCCAGCGTGCCGGCCTGGAGGAGGGACAGGAGGGGAAGGAAGGGAAGCAAAGGAAAGCGGAGGGAAGCAAAGGAAGGTTTTCTAGAGGGAAGTTCCCTCCCCGCCCACGTGTGAGGAAAAGCCAAATGCAACCGTCTCGGCTCCAAATCTCCTTTAACTGGGATGAATGGAGAGCAGTTCTAGGATTCGTTTCCTTAGCTTCTGTATTGACATGATATGTAGCCAGAAATACATTTTAAGCCTTTATCCTCTTCATAGTGAGAGACTGTTTGGGATTAAAGAGCTGTTGATGCCTCATGGAAAAACTTTAATTCTACAGACATTTTCTAGGGATTTTCACCTCCATTTTTTTATTAGTAAGGACATTTGCATGAAAACAGGATATTTATTTCTTAAAGATCTCATCTGCTCCCACTGCTTATTCTCAACCTGAAGTCAGAATCCTCTCTTTGTGACATCATAATCCTCTCCACAGCAGCCACTTGTGATGTCACAGAGGATTAAGACTTCAAATAAGCAATAAGCGGCGGGCACAGATTAATCCCTAAGCCAGAGAGATCTGATTCTGGTGAGAACATCTCAAGAAGTAAGAAGGGGAAGCACATAAGCAGGACTGGCTCCAGACTGAGCAGTGTGTTGAAAAGGAGCCATTTCTGGTAGGTAAAGCAGAGCTGAGAGTGAGACCATCCAACTTCTAATTTTAATTCTACTCTATAGCTTCAAACAAACAATGTTAATGCTTTCAGCATTCCTGGACAGGCTGCAAAGTCCAAATCCCTTTTGGAGTCAAACTACCCATGAAGTGCTCTTGGTATTACTACTGGTTCCCACACAATTAAGTCAGGTGCTTGAAAGCAAGCCTGGACAAAATTGGAATTTACAAATTTTATAGACATTCTTCAAGCTTCAGAGGAAATCTGGATCTTTGCTTCAGCAATTGTAGGGGATTCAGAACAATCCCACCCAATGTGGGCTGAGAGTGATGAGTAATAGTCTAAGGAGGAACCTTGGGGAAAAACAAGAAGCCAAGGGAACGAATCTGATTCAGAGACTGCACACAGAACCTGATGAACATACTTGTTCTTCAGCTCCACGATGGCCTGCACGGTCCTGTTGTTGTAGTAGAGGTTGATGGTTCTCACCATCTTGGTTCGTTTCAGGTCCCCAATCTTCACTGTCACCTTGCTGATGGTGTGGCTGCCAATGAGCTTCACCACCTGCTGCGTGGTCGTGTAGCGCGTGTCCACTTTGATGGACGAGAGCTTGATGTACTGGGGAGACAAACCAAGGACACACTGCCTGTGTGAGAGCACCCCAAAACCTCAGGGGCACAGGAAACCACATTTGTAAAGGGTTGGGATGCCCACCACTGGAAAGGATTTAATAACAGCAGTTAGTGCTGGTGTCATGCAGAGCAGCTGGAGCTGTGCCAGAGGAGGTTTAAGCTGGATCAGGAAAGGTTCTTCCCCCAGAGGGTGCTGGCACTGCCCAGGCTCCCCAGGGAATGGGCACGGCCCCGAAGCTGTCAGAGCTCCAGGAGCATTTGGACACCACTCCCAGGGATGCCCAGGGTGGGATTGTTGGGATGTCTGTGAAGAGCCAGGGGTTGGATTTGATCCTTGTGGGCCCTTTCCAACCCAGGATATTCCATGGCTGTGTGATTCCAGGGTTACTTACACAGAAAGGCACCTCGGGGTTGTTGCAGACAAGGCAAGGATCACTCTCCAAGTAGTAGCCATCAAATTCCACAAGCCCAGACAATGTGCTGGAATGAGGGAACAACACTGACACATGGACCTGGGCATTTGCTGCTTTAAACCAAGGCCATTCAACCAGAATCACTTCAATTTTTCCCATTTCCCAGTCCCAGTGCGTAACAGAACTGTTACGGTGTAAATCACACTGGAAATAACAGCTTTTAACTAAGCATTTTTATTGTAATTATCAATGGCCAAGGTGGGACCAAGAACATAAGACTCAAAACTGCAAATCTCTATTCTCCAGCTGGACCTAAGATCTCATAACATTTACTGACTGAAAGCAGAACAGCTCAGGCCAAGCTCTGCTGGTAGGGTCCAACATCAGGTTTCCATCTGGCAGAAGGGATTCTGCTGCTCTCCCAAGCCCAGCAGGCACAGAACCTGAGCAGGGCCCATCCCCACCACCATCCTGGGTATTCCCCCACGGATGGAGCTCTGCTGGAAAGCCCTCCAGTGACACGGATCAAAGGCAGAAGTGACTCACTTGTAGATGTTGGAGTTGGGGTGGTTGGTGAGAATGTGGTTTTGAGTCCGGAGGATCTCCACGGCCTTTTGGGAATATTCCTTCAGCTGAAATACAACCAGGAAAAGGCAGTCTTCAAAACAGTGCTTTTATTGCTACACAGACACAAATATCCTCATCTGTCCTCATCTTTTGGTGTTCTAGGTCCCCCAGAAGAAGTACACACCACACCCACAGGACTTGATGCCTTTAAATCATTACCCAGGACTGTAATTGATCATAAAATTTGAGATTTACACAGTAAGTGCTGTTTGTCAGTCAACCCCTGCAAATGCCTGCCAAGATTTGTACAGCATTCCCCACTCTTTAAACATACTCATGGCAAGTATCAATGGGTCTAAATTATTTGTTCTCAATCCCACTGATCCTCTAAAAGAGCCATAACTTCCTTTGTTCAAAAATCATGGTTACAAAAGATTTCTAGGAGTTGCAATTGCAAAAACCTAAAAACTGGAGCTGCCAGATCCACAAAAGCCACATGTGGAAAGAAGTATTTTTCTCAATAAATAAAAAACTCACCAGCACAATCTCACCCCCAAAACAATAAAACAAAAACCAACACTTCCAAATTCTTTAAGGATCCTGCTTTTTTTTAACATTAAAGTTCTAAAAAATAACATGAAAAATTTCTACCAGAAGCTCTTCTGACAGAAAATCTGTGCCAGCTGTATCAAAAATGAGCAGCTGGGATGCTGTACCTGCCTTCTGGAATGTCACTGTACCTTTTTCTCAGTCTGTTGTGTTTTCAGGGAGAAGTATCCCAGGAGATCTACAAACTGTGCAGCCTTTCTTCCATAGGCTGGGAGCTCTGGCCAGATGGACCACATGAGATCCAGCAGTAACTCCTGCTGGGACTTGTTGGAATTCCTGTTGGGTGGATTACAGACAATCAGGGTTCTTGTGCACAAGGAGAACATAAGCTCCAATCCACCAAACTGGGAAACCATCATCTTGCAGAGTTCACAGAGCTAAATCCCACCATCCCTTGAACCCATCTGTTTTCCAGCACTCCAAAACAAAAGCAGCTGTCCTGCAACAACTGAACAGAGCTCTGAAGGAGTCCAGCCCCCTAAAGCACTCCTTTCCCCACACAACTCCCAACTTTTCATGGTGGGGGTCTGGATCTGCCTCAGAAATTCACTTTGCCCACAAACACCTGCTCCTGGTCATGACAGGAGTCAGATTTTGCAGGCAGAAATAAAATGCTCCTTGCACATGACAACTGAGATTGATCATGGATAAGTCACAACTTCCACCTCCAGCCCCAGTAACTGCAAACCACGAGGGCAATTCCAGAGGGGCCCAACACCTGCAGGCTCCAGCATCCTTCAGAGAGAGGCTGAGGCCCTGAACCAGCCCCAGGCTCACCTGTAGATGTGCAGGGCCAGGCAGTGGGCCTGCCACCTCACTGAGGAGGAGTTGGATTCCAGCAGGAAGCAGCGCAGGAACTGGATGAGGGTCTCCTTGTCAGCAAACTTGTTCAGCTGGTTCACCAGGGCCGTGCACAGCTGGTCCTCCTGGCTGCCTGAACCCTCACCTAGGGACACAGGGAAGGCTTTAGGGAGAAGATAAATGCAGCACCTCACAGGCAGGCCACTCTCCTGTTTCAGAGTCAGGATAATGGGGACAAATTATTATGTTTCAGGTAACAAGAAAGTTTAATATTTCTGTCTTTTTCAAAAATATAACCCAGCACTCCTGACTAACAGGAAAAAAACTGCAGGAAAACTTGCCAGTGAGGACGTGAGAAATGTGCTACACATCCTGATAAAAAGAAAAGGACTGACCATGAGGCAATGAAAAGACTCACACAGAACCATCTGATGGTGAAAGCCAAAGTGGTTCCTTGAAGAAAAGCCAAGAGAGAATTTATGCCCGTGACTTTTATAGGGAAGCTTAATTACTTTCCCAGGACTGTGGATATTCATTAAGCAGCAGCCCTGGCTCCAGCAGAGCTTCCAAGGCAGCCAGAGGAAACAAGTCTGAACACAATCACAGCAGAGCACAGCTAACTGGGTGTGCATCCCCAGGATTTGTTCTAATCCTCGTGAGCCTTTCAAACTCCTACAACCCAGGACAGGCAAGTTAAGTGGAAGCTGCTTCATCACTAGATTAGGTAACACTATTAGACAACTTCAAACCCACTCAAGGCAATAAACACAGCGGGTTTGGGATGTCCTCAGCACATGATTTCAGCCCCACTCTTAGGACACACTGCTTCACCCTAGTCCCATGTACACATGGGAAAACTGCTCCTCTCGCCTGACTGTGGCTGTGGGTGCCCTTGCCACGAGCCATGACCCTTTCCCAACAGCAGGATTTGTCATCCAGTTCTTTCTGAACAGAGTAAGAAAGGCTGTGAGGAGCAGACTTGTTCCCTAAAACCACAAGACAGGGCCCAGCTGCCCCTCACCCTCTCGCTCCTTCTCCTTTTCCTCCTTCTTGCTCTTTTTGGTGGAGGATTTGCTCTGCGCTGCCGCCTGCCCAGAGCCTGATGCTGCAGGAGCAGAGGTGGAAGAGGTGCTGGAAGCTCCAGAGGATGAAGCCACAGACAGCACTTTGCTGCCACACAGAGCACAAGACAACAGCTGCAGGAGAACCGGGGACACTCCTTCGTCTACCAGGAAGCTGACTTGGAGCAGGAAATAGAGAACCGCTGTGGAGGAAAAGGGAACATGTTTCAATCACACAATCATGGAATATCCTGAGCTGGAAAAGGCCCACAGGGATTGAATCCAACCCAGGTCCAGCACAGACACCCCAACAATCCCACCCTGGGCACCCTGGGAGCATTGCCCAAATGCTCCTGGAGCTCTGGCAGCCTTGGGGGTGTGTCCATTCCCTGGGCAGCCTGGGCAGTGCCCAGAACCCTCTGGGGGAAGAACCTTTCCCTGATATTCAACCTAACCCTGCCCTGACACAGCTCCATGCCACTAAAGCCTGAATTAAAAAAGAAAAAAAAAAAACCAACCAAACAAAAAAAAACAAACCAAAAAAACTCAGCCTAAACCAAAAGCCTTTGTACACAAGTACTCCCAGAACTGTCCTGCCCCTGGACCACAGAAGCCTAACACTGGGGTACACCAGGTACAGTGGCTCATCCCAAATTACTCTCTGGGACAATGGCTGCACAAGCAAGAGAACACAGACCTCCTGTTCCTCTGAGTTATCCATTACACCATATTTTGCTCTTTAGCCAAGGACCAGATGCAATTAGGGCACTGGAATAATTAGTACTGGAAACAGTTCAGTCCTATCAAAACCCTCAGCTGTGTCTCCCCTTCTCTGCTGAGCTTCCCCATCTGAGCCACCTTGACCCCAACCACGACACCACTGTTCCCCCAAACCATGCAGAGACAGAACTCACAGTCATCCTTGATGCAGAATTTCTGCCAGTTCACTGTTCTCTGCGTGGCAATCTCTGCACAAGCCTTCAAATGTTCCATCTGCAGGCACAAAGGGATGGGATCAAAGAGCACATCAGCACTCCTGTCACACCAACATCACTCCAAGGCCCTTTCCCTGCTCCTGCCCTTACCAGGGAGATCAGGGTGTCGTACTGCAGGGCAGAGCCCGAGCTGGCTGTCACCACGCTGGCCCTCAGGAAGATGCCCTGCTCCTCCAGCAGTTTCTTGATGCCACGCACGTGCGAGTCCAGGGTGTGCAGGTCCCGCAGCTGCCGGTACTTGTCCTTGGAGCCGCAGATGAACAGCAGCAGCTTGCGCACCTGGCGGCGCACGAACGGCGTCTGCTGGATCATCAGGTACTGCAGAGGGAAGCCAGGGCAGAGTGAGCTCACCAGGGCCACGCTGGCCACCAAAAATGAGTGTTTTCTTCCAAAAAGTAAACAGATGGGAGATGCCTTCACCCAGCTTTAATCCTTTAAGTCCCAGGCAGAAGACACTGCACAGCAGCACTGCACCGCTTGCTGGAAACCATCCCTTGTCATCTCCAACCTCAAATAAACACCCAACCAAGGCTAATTAAGAAATCCTAACTCATACTTGTGTAAATGTAAGATAACTTGCTATGTAAAGTAGGAAGCAAACTGCGAAGACAAACACCACATATCTTCCTGATTTCTTTTTTAAGGCCCAAGTACCAACAGCTGAGCACGATGTTACATTTTTCCATCTCACAGCAGGTTTTCTCTCTAAGCTTTGTGGCAGCAACCACTGAGTTCCAAGAAGTAACAGCAACCTCATTTTTCGTGTATATTTTCCTACACGAAATTCCTGTTCAACAGGAGCACACAACAAAGCCAACAGTTCAACTTCTTCAAGGAGATTAAAAATACAAGATGGAGCTGAGATCAGCTCTGCAAAAGCTCATCCCTCCCATGAAAGAAATCATTATTGGAGTATTCTTGTGGAAATCTGCAGGTGTATAATGTTCTTGCTTACCTCAGACAAAAAGTAGAACCAGGAGTGATCAAAGATGGGCGGGGGGATGCGGGAGTTTGTGTCTGCAATCTTCTTGATCTGGTAGGGCAGGCGCAGCACCATCTCTGTCAGGAGCTGAGTGTAGGCCTCAAAAACATCTGCAGCATGACCCTGGCAGCAAGAGAAATCCCTCAGGCTCTGAGCACACCCACAGTGTGGTGCCATGATGAATGACAGTGTGCTTTTGCTGATTTTCTGAAGACAGGGGATTTCTGCCCCTTTGCAGCCCAAAGAACATTCCCAAACGATGAATAAGAACCTGCACAAGGCCTTGAAGTGGATGGTAGCTGTGAGGATGCACTAAGCTAGTCTGGAGTAATAAAGCAGTTCAACTCAGGAGCTTTCAGCTTAGGAGACATTCTTACATTTAATCAGGCTTTTTGCACTGCACCTGTACAAACACCAAACCACGGCATAATGGCACCACAGCGGTGGAACAAGCCTGGGAATTACTGTGGAAATTCCCATCCACCATTCCACTTCCTTGGCACACTAGGTTCAGGAATTCTGCCTGCCAAGCACAGCTCGGAGTCACAAGCTGGAGCAGCTTCCCTTCAGGATGATTAAAAATTCCTCCAGGAACAGCTCCACAGAACTCCTGGGTAAGGAGTGCACCAAGGGATGCAGGAAGAGACGGGAGAGATGCTGGGATGCCCTGTGACAACTCGGAGCACTCCCAGCTGTAACTTTGTGCTACAAGATGGATTTTGGTTGCTGTTCTAAGGGCAAACTCCTTGTGCAGGGCTGCTTTCCCAGCTCTGTGCAGCCTCCTCTCAGTGCAGGCCCTGCACAGCTCCCAGCACAGGGCAGGACTCACCTTCACGTACTGCCGGAGGAAAAAGGGGCTCATGTCAGGGGGAGAGGAAGTGGTGTGAGGCTTCAGCAGCTGGCTGGTGGCCACAGGCTCCTCATCATTCTGCTGGCTCTTCCAGTACTCCAGCAGGGACTTGAGCACGTGCAGACAGTAATCAACAGCACCAGAGCTCAGCAAGGCAGCTGCTGTGGCACTGGAGATCAGGGAGGAAGCCTGGAACAGAGGGAAGGAGCTGGATCAGGAACACACCTGGGAACCTGCAGGGTGGAGAGCTGGGGCAGCCCTGAGCACCTGCTGACAACGTGGGCAAGAGAGCAGGTTTGGATGAAACTTTGCAGGCAGCTTTTAAGTTTGGGGTTTGTTTGAGGCTGGGTTTTTTTGAGGTTTTTTTTTTGTGTTTATGAAAAGCAACTCAAATATTTACAGAGACTCTTTTGAACAAGTGCTTAGTAAAGGAAAACAAATAAAATCTCCTCTTAAGTCTAATCTCCCCTCGACACATGTGCCAGAGGCCACTCTGCTGTGGATTAGACAACTAGGGCTTTTTTTCCCTTCTTTTTTTCCCCCTTCTTTTTTTTTTTTTTTTTTTTTTTTTTTTTTTTTTTGGTTTTTTTTTTTTTTTTTTGGGTTTTTCCACTCTGCTGTGGATTAGACAACTAGGGCTTTTTTTCCCTTCTTTTTTTCCCCCTTCTTTTTTTTTTTTTTTTTTTTTTTTTTTTTTAAGTTGGGATTTCTATTTGTTTATCTGGGATTTGGCCAGCTGGGCATGAATCCTGGTAGAGAAAGAGTCCCTGTTGCAGCTGCTGCTCACAGGCTCTGCTCCACCCAGGTATTGCTCCACCTGCATTCTGCAAGACGAGGAGCTTTGATTTCTGTGGGAAGCTCAAGTGAGTAACAAAGGCTGGAGAAAAAGCTACTGTAAATAAAACTATTAAAGCAGCCCTGTAAATCCAAACAAACCCCACAGCTCATAAGCTCATTAAAATTTGATGCAGTTCAGACTAAATTTTTTAACCTCTATGCTTTTTTATTAATCTCCTTCCCACCACACATACTGCTTTTTATGCCTTATTACTGTACCTTTTAGCAACAAATATCTAAGGAATCCTCTTAGCGACTTTTACGTTGACACAGCAGCATATTGCTTTCCAATAATCACATTACAAATCCTCTTTAACCCCTTCAGCACTGGTGAGATGCAAGGGAAAAATCTGCCAGACCGTTTTAAGTAACATCATTAATGTGCTGCCCTGAGCTCAGTCTGGAACCATGCACAAAACAAGAGCATCCAATTGTCTTTACACGGCTGCTTCCTCCAGCCCTAGTTTCAAAACTCTTCTTCCACAAGAGTTCAGTAACAGTACAGGTTCCCTATAAATTTTTCCAAAGCCTTCTCAAGGATGTTTCAGTTTTACACCTGTTATTTCAGTGAGCAGCTTTTAGACCATCTTTGATAACAAAAGCCCCCCAAGCACATCACGGAATCCCAGAATGGTTTGGGTTGGAAGGGACCTTGAAGTTCAACCCATTCCACCCTCTGCCATGGGCAGGGACACCTTCCACTGTCCCACATTGCTCCAAGCCCTGTCCAACCCAGCCTTGGACACTTGCAGGGACCCAGGGGCAGCCACAGCTTCTCTGGGCAATCTCCACCCTCACATGGAAGAATTTCTTCCCAATATCTGACCTAAATTTCTCCTCTTTCAGTCTGACCCTTTCCTCCTTGTCCTGTCACTCCAGCTCCTGATGAGAAGTCCCTCTCTGGCTTTCCTGTAGCTCCTTCAGACCCTGGAAGGTGTTGTGGGGTCTCCACACAACCTTCTCCTCTCCAGGCTGAACATTCCCAGCCTGTCTCCACAGGGCAGATGCTCCAGTCCCCTCCGTGGCCTCCTCTGCACTTGCTCCAACAATTCCACGAGTTCTCATGTTGAGAACACCAGAACTGTGTGCAGTGCTCCAGGTGGGGTCTTGTGAGAGCTGAGTAAAGGGGGAGAAAATCATCCCCTGACAAAGCAATTTGGAGAATGTACCTCACAAATGGAAGTCTTGGATCCTGACTTGGTCCTGGACATGAAGACACTGAGCAGCCTCATCACCACCAAGTGCACCTCGTTCACAGGGGAGCGCTCGTTTTTCTTGGACACATCCTGCAGGAAAAGACACATCCTGCTTGCTCAATCCCAGAGCTGAGCAGTGTCCCAAGCCTCTCAAGTTCAGTGCTCTGATCCTCAGGAAGCATTTCTAATTTAAACTCAAGCAGTAAGACTGAAAAAGCAGCACAAATGCCTCAACAGAAGGGTAGGCAGTGGCCTGGCTGCCAGAGAACAGTCCCACACAAATGAAAAGCTACATATGTCAATCATGCATTTACTGATCATGGCTCTTCTCAGAGTTTAATTCCAGCAAAACAAATTTTCATGCTCACTTGTGGATGTCAGACCCAGGAGACAGTGGGAGTTCCACTCATGTCATTTTCTACCATACGTGAAAGGAGGCAAGAGGAATAAACTGCCTGAACACATCCACACAGCAATGTTTCTGTGATTCCAAAGCATTTAATTCCTCCAAGGAAAGAAACCCTGTCTAGAAGGAGCAAATTCAGAGCATGAGCCCATACTGCACTTTACCTTTTTGTCCATGCCCAGCTCTGCAATCAGCTGGGAGAGAAGGTTATCCAAAGCTCCCTTGTCCTTCTCATCATCTCCATCTAGGTCTGTTGTGAGCATCAGAATAACCTGGGAAGAGCAGTCAGAGAATTATTAGAGGGCAGGTTCCACATTATCAAGATAAATAGTTACCTTTCACAAAACAGCACTGATTTTATCTCGATTAATATGTGTTCTTTCCCAAATCCAGCCTGTGCCTCACATCCTAATATGGACATTCAGCATAAACCCACAAATCCTTCCCAAACACATTGGAGCTGAAGGATTGGAGCCCTCAGGCTCCTCAGTCAGCTGTAAAGTCACACTGAGAAAGGGCACAAGTCCAGCAAAAACTTGTGGGTAAAGAATGCTGTGCAACAGAGGGACTCACACTGTGACTGGGCAAGAAGGAGAAAAGCACATGCAAGTAGAAACCAGGGATTGAACTATTTGATTTGGGCTTAACTCTGAGCCCTCCTCACTCACCTGCATGTAAGGGATGGCCCGGACCCCTCCCACGTTCCTCAGCTGGGGGAGATTCTGCAGCAGCCTCTCCAGCAGCATCAGCCGGACCATGTGCAGCCTGGATTCAGAGGCAGCAGTCAGACACAGCCCAGAACACAGCACAGCCAGCAGGGTCTCCAGGAGAGCACTGCAACCTGCCCCAGAAACCCTACGCCATCAAATCCTCCCAGGGAGGACAGGACGTGCTCAGACTTCACAGGGAAGTGATACCAAAGGTGCAGAGCACCTCTGACAATGGAGCCACACTGCCCAGGCCTGGCCACCTGGGGATTGCAACTGCATGGCAGCATCCTGCAAATCAGCTCCACACTGCTCTGGAGAAGAGACTGAGCACCTGCTCCCACAGAATGAAAAGCTGCCCATGTTCCCAAAGGACACTGCCACATGCTTTTGTCCTAACAGTGAATTTCACAGGCTCCCAACATTTCAGTGATTCCATGTTAACTAGACTCATGCAGGATTTTTTTGTCACTTCCTAGAGGCAGCAGTTTTGTGGGACATGCACTGGGTGTATTTATCACACCACATGACGACTGCACAGAGGGTGCACTGCCCAGGTTCCCAGGGAATGGACACAGCCCCGAGGCTTGCCAGAGCTTCAGGAGCATTTGGACAACATTGGGATGCAGGGGGTGGGATTGTTGGGATGCCTGTGCAGGGCCAGGGGCTGGATTGGATGACATTTGTGGGTCCCTTCCACCTCAGGACACTCCATGATTGCATCAGGGGCTGGATTGGATGACATTAGTGGGTCCCTTCCACCTCAGGACACTCCATGATTGCACGATTTTGCAATGGCAGTTTGCTCTAGTCTGTGTTTCTGACTTTCCACTCTGGGTACCCAGCGCTCCTGGCACTGCAGCCCCGCAGCCCCCTCCTCTGCAAACATCCCCCAGAGCACAGCTGTTCTTCCTCAAGAGGAAGCAAAGCCTCTTGCCTGTTGCTGGTGTGGACGTCCCCCTCTGCCTCCCCTTCCCCCTCGGAGCCCTCTCCCTCCTGCTGGCCCGTGGTGGTGCTGATGGCTCCTGTGCTGGAGCTGACGCTGCCAGGCCCCGCCGGGTGGCCCTCGGCCGTGGTGTCCCCGTAGGCGCTGCTCCGGCCAGACACTGGGAAAGGACAGGAAAACAGGGAAACACAACCTCAGCAACTCAACAAACACCTTGCCTGCTTCATACCCACCACCACAGCTGAGCTTCACTTTGGAATGAATCGTGGTTCAAAGGAGATGCTGGCTTTGGCTCTCTTCTGAAAGCTACAAGAGAGGCTGAAGATGCATTTGTAGAAGTCTTTTCTTTGCCACCCTCATCTTTGTGGCCCAAACTGAACTGATCCCACAGCAGTAATTCAAACTCAGTCAGACAATGCTTGGATGGGTAGTGTGGACAATCAGATGAATTTTTTTAATAAGTGTCTGTGATTATTTTACCTGGGTATCAGTCCCAAACTAAAAAGAGAGTAATTAATCCTATCTCATTCAAACTTAACCAGCAGCATAGTGAATTGTCTCAGTCTTGCTCTAGGCATTCTGAGAGGCAAGGGCTCCAGGGAGACCTTGCTGTGGCCTCCCATACCCTACAGAGTACTGGGTACTTATGGTACTTATGAAAAGCAGGGAGAGGGACTTGTTATATGGGGAGAGAGTGACAGGACCAGGGGCAGTGGCTTTAAGCTGAACAAGGGCAGGATTAGATGGGATATTAGGAAGAAATTCTTTACTCAGAGGGTGATGAAGTCCTGCCACAGGTTGCCCAGAGAAGCTATGGCTGCCCCATCTCTGTAAGTGTCCAAAGCCAGGTTGGACAGGGCTTGGAGGAACCTGGGATAGCGGAAGGTGTCCCTGCCTTGGTGTTAGTACAGGATGATCTTTAAGGTCCCCTCCCACCCAAACCATTATGGGATTCAATGATTCTGTTATTACAGCCCAGCAAAATCTGCTGCAGATTCCACACTTCCAGAGAACCACAAAAGGGAAACAACATTCCATCTGTGGGCACTGGGGCAGAATCCACGAAACAACAGATGGCAGCAGCCACTGGGAACTGAGATTCCCTCTGCGCCAGGCATCACCCACACACTCCTATGGTGGGCAAGGCTGTGGCAGCAGGGAGGGAGCAGGGGTGCAGCAGGGAGGGAGCAGGGTGGGAGTGGACGGTGCAGCAGGGAGTGCAGCAGGGGGTGCAGCAGGGAGGGAGCAGGGGATGCAGCAGGGGGAAGGAGCAGGGGGTGCAGCAGGGCTCACTCACCGCTGTGCTCCCCGGCCACCGAGTCCACGGCGCTGCCGCCGCTCTCCGAGCCCACGCTGCCGCCGTGCTCCGCGGGCGATGTCCGCAGCGTGGAACCGTCCGTGGCTGCCGTGCTGCCCTCGTCGTCGGAGGCTGGAGCTAAGAGAATAAAGAGAGCTGTTACAAGTAAAAACACTGCCTGGGAACAACTGCAAACGACGCTCGCGCTACCAGGGAAAGGCTGCAGGGATTGGGCTTGGGGTTTGGGGACAGCTACAAACGGAAAGGGAGCTTGGGGGTGACGAGCAGGACAGTTAAAGCAGTGGAGGGGAGATATCCCGAGAGGAAAGCTTCTCTATCAAACACACAGGCATGCACAGTTACTTAAAGAACAATGTCTGGTTGTTTATAAATGCAAGGGAAATACAGTACATGCTTTGTTTTGTCTGCTTTAGCTTAAAGAGAGGAAATAACTTCCTCAGAAGTCTACAGTAAGAGTCAATCAAAGCAGGAAAAAGCTGTAAGTACACTCTCAAAAATACAAGAAGCCAATAGTAATAACTGGGTCTTCCAAACCATATTTGCAAACCAATTTTAAGGTATTACTTAGGTCAGAATATGAAAAAGAAGATGCCTTGCAGTGAACAGTTACCTGATGCTGTTGTGTCCGAGAGTGTTCCAGCATCAAGAGAGGAGGAGCTGGGAGCTTGGCCTGACAGTCCTAAGCTCTGCAGTCCAAGGGCACTGCTGCTGCTCCCTGCAAACAGAGAACAACTTATGAGCATCTTTCTTTGAGAGAATAAGTTAACTCTGGCATTTTCTGTACATTTCATAGTTCTGCTATCTTTGGTCCACTGGTGATGACACCAACAGCTCTGCCTCATTTCTTTCCCAGTTTTCCCAGTTTCCATCCCCTTTTTGCCTGCCAACAGTGCCCACATCTGACCTTGCTGATCTTGTTGCAGGCTCAGGGCAATAGCCAACTCCACCATTGTCTCATCATCTGCATCTGGAGGGATATCCAGCATCGGAGGGAATCCCTCTGCTCCAGCCAGGAGAGCCTCCAGAGGAGAAGGATTCCCATTATTCACATTCTCAGAAGTCTCCAGAACCATGGATTCGGACTATGGAGAGGAAACACAGTGAGAGCTTTCCCCAGACCACCACCAGTAAGAGAGCACTACAAGCAGGTTCATCAGAACTAAATTAACTCAAGTCCTGGCACACTTCAAAGGCTCCAAGGAGAAGCGCTGGACTCACCACCATCTCGAAGTCCCCGTGATCCACCTCGCTCTGCTCCTGGCTCTCCTGTCGGATGTGCTCTCCATTTGCTATCCCAGAGCTCTGCAGCTTGTCCTCTGCATCGTCATCGTCATCATCATCCTTATCTCCTGAGTGGCAAAGCAGGACTTCATAAATGCACAGCTCCTCATCCCATCCCAAACCAGGCTGCTAATGCTGGGAAAAATCCCAGGCTACCCTCAGTTACCAAGAGACTCCTGACACCTACAATTTGCTTCAAAACTGAAAAACCTCTCTTGGATGGAGCTCTGATAATTTTGATCTGCACACATCTTTGACTGATTTATTAGAACGTGAAAACATGCACAGAAATACTAACTCTAGATTACTACTCTCTAGATAAAATGATCAGATTTCCCTGTCACTAAAAGGGGAATATCTCAGAGAGATCTCCTTTTTGAATCCCAAAATATCAATGAAAAGGTGAGAGTTTATTAAATAAAAAGGGGTTTCGGAGGCAAGGGAGAGCAAAAGAAAGGAAAAAGGCTGATTTTAGCCTTTTCTAGTCTCGGTTTATAACAAGACCACTTTATTTTCTTATCCTTTCTGACCAGTCAAGAAGGCCCTGCTGGTTTAAGCAGAGGATGCCCTGGCATACCCATGGGGGTGTTGCTGCGGGGGGACGACGGCAGGGTCACGTGTCGCCGCTTGTTCCGGGGTCTCAGCACCCTGATCAAAGCTTGCTTGCAGGAAAAGCTTACTGCTGGGTCCTGCAGGGTGAACAGTTCATCATTACACTCCTTAAGCTCTAAGTCCTTTTTCACAGCATTTGGAAAGATGGCTAAAAATGCACTCGTGACTCTCATCAGTCATGGTTCATGTAGGACATGAGTCACCTCCCACAAAGCAACACTTGGAATTCCACATGCAGCACACAACAAACATTACTAGAACTCAAGGAGAGAGAATTCTCCTTCATTCACTTCTCACTGAGTGTTTTTGGCTGTATTTTGTGTCTATACTATGTATTCATATTCTGCCCACATTTAATTTTTTTCCCCACTATAGAATCATGGAAACATTTAAGTTGAAAAAGCCCTCTGAGATCAAGTCCAACCATAAACCCAACACTGCCAATCCCCCTCACCCATGTCCCCAAATGGCACATCTACACTTTTAAATTCCTCCAGAGGTGGGGACTCAACCACTGCTCTGGGCAGCCTGTGGCAGGCTGGAACACCCCTTCCACAAAAACATTTTTCCAGATGCCCAACCTAAACCTCCCCTGGTGCAATCAGAGGTTGAGGCAGAGAAGAACAAGGTGACATACTGGGCAAAGTAACATCTGCATGTAGATCTTGGATGCAGTATGGATACAGTCCAGCTCACACGTGCAGTATCCATGGATAATATCCACCAAAGCATTGACTGTGGCTTCAACGTGAGTGAGACCTAGCAGGAATAAAAGCAGGACTGAAATCAGCTCTCTCTGTATTTCAGCACAGAGTGAGGCACTGCAGGAAGCATCTTTTGTTTGCAGACATCAAGGCACAATGTGAACAGCACAAATATATTGATTTTCAATCCAGACTGAGCCAGCCTTGTCTGTCTGATGGAATATTGTGAACTCCATACACCAGCACCACTGAATATTCCCTAACACCACCCACATAGACAAATATGGGGTAAATCAATCATCAGTCCCTTCTCCCTGGCACAATACACGTGCCCCTGAACAAAAGCTTTGAAGCAGAATCTGCAGCTCCACATCATAAAGCCCTCAGTGCAGCACTAGCAATGAGAACATTGAGTCATGTTCTCTGCTTACAAACTTAAAATAGCCCCCTTCAGAAGCCACAGGCTTGCCAATAGCAAAGGAAGAGCTCTCCCACCTGGCAGGCAGGCAGGGGCCAGGAAGGCGTTTTTGGGTTTTGATGCATGGAGCTTCCAGAAGTGGTTCACCAGCTGGGTAATGAAGGTGCAGCCCTCTCCTTCTGCGTGTTTCTGGGCCTCCTGCCCTTCTTCACTCTCTGCACAGATTAAAAAACACCTCTCAGAAATGTGCAGGGGAAAACCTTAATGAGGGTAACACCAAGTTTATTTGAAATGGCTTTTTTCAGAGGCTTTGATGTTCTCATCAGCAGGATATCACACACCTACCAAATGTGTCAAATACAGCCTCTGCCACTCCGAACCCGACACCCCAGCACAGCTTCAATTATCACAACAGAAATTTAGAGAAAATTACAGACTTATCTACCTGTTTCCAGCTGTGGCAGCTTTGATTCTGTGTAGTGGACCAGATTGTTGGGTCTCATAATAGCAATGGACCGAGCAGTGATGACCAGCCTCTGGAACACCTCGGGATCAAGGTCCTTTCCTTCTTTGGTTGAGGAAGTCAAATACTGAATGGCTTTGCTTAGCAGTGCTTGATCCTGCAGAGTGAGAGATAACACAGGCAAAGAAAAACAACTGACTGCAGCACAAGAAAGCAGCTGAAGCACAACCACGGGACAGATCCTGGGGAAATCTGGCATTCCTCATCTAAGGAAGGGCAGCCAATGGTAAAAGGTCACAGAATCACACAACTCTGGTGAAACACAGAAGCCAGCAGGGCAGGCAGCAGGAGCTAAAGGGAAATGAGACAGGAGGTTTGTGCTGCATGGAGGAAGGGCTCTCTAGGGTTCTGCTGCACCTCAGCCATGACCTGGCAGGTTCCAGGAGCCCCCAAATCCATGCCCTGGGCAGTACCTTGTGGTTGTGGTAGGCTGAACGGCTGGTGTGCAAGCTGGCCAGCAGGCTCTTGGTCTGCTGCTGCACGCTGGAAGGGGCTGGCATGGACAGCAGCACAGTAGCCAGTTCCTGAGCTGCAATCTTATTCTTCTCCTAAGAACAGACAAACCCCATTATTCAGTATATTTACCATCACTCAGTGTACCTGCAGCTCCCTTCCCTCAATACCCTTTTGATAGCCTCCCTCCATTTACTATTTGACATTTAGGGAACCCTTCACATGTCTAAACAAGAAAAGTCCTTTTGAGATTTATGGGCTCCTACCCTGCTGTTTCTGTAAACGAGGTCAGTCTGCAGCACAAAAAGCCCACCAGCGCTAAATGCAAATGCCAATTGTCATTCTAAACTAGTTTCAAACGCTTTTGGCTAAGGCAACTTTCAGATCAGTGCTCTGAGCAAAAGGGATGCGGCTCTGCTCCTATCAGGCCCCCGGGGCTGCAGGAGGTAGTGCTGAGCTGGCCCCTCCTCCCCCAGCTCCAAAGCTCAGGAATGTATTCAGAAAGTTACTTGCCTTCTCGTTGACTGGTCCCACAGCAAAGCAGCTTTCCAGCGCTTCTAAAGAACTCACTACTAGCCTGGAGGGAGAGAGGAAAGCAGGCTTGAGTACAGCAACCCTTCTCTCTCCTTAGCACTTTGCTTTATGCGGGCTACAGTCATGAGTAGCTCAGAGACAGCTAACGAATGCCAAGTACAAAATCAAAGCATGATAAAACCTGCCACAGGCACCATGCATATCATTTCATTGTGTTACAGACCAGAGTTAAACCTGGCTCACGCTCACAGACAAACTTAGGACTGCTTTAATAATCCACAGCTGAAAGACAGGGGCTTTTCTCTCCCAAAGAGGATAAAACATTTCCTTACGCAGCCTGCAGCAGGGATAACTTGGATTGTCTTGACAGTCCCAATTCACCATGGCCCCCAGACGTACAGATGACTGCAGATCAAGGCTGGCTATGACACATGGGAAAAAGCGGAACCGACTTTGCTAAGGGAGCAACGCTCTACTCGCTTGCTATTTTCACACAGGTTGCTCTTTCCAATTTGGAGTTTCAGCACAAAATATTCCAGAGGAAAATTAACTCAGAGCACTGGGAGTGACCTCAAGCGAGGGATGCTGAGGCTGAAGCAGGCTGGGAAAACACTTGTCCCGCGGGAAAACCTGATTTACAAGTGGCAGCAAAGTCCCTGTAGCAGCACTCCATGCCCCCAGGTAGAACTACCTGAAATGCCATCTGACACACCAGAAGGAGCAGGAAGATACAGGAAAAAGCAGGGAAGAGAGAGCATTAAGGGCAAAAATAGCAGTGTAGGATTGGAAGGTAGAAGGAACAATTGTCTGGTCTAGTGATGATAAATAACATCCCCCTCCCCACAGCCACCCTCATAAAGCTTGGAGGGAACAGAAGTGGGATAAGAAGGCACAAGGAAGGAACAAAGCAGAGAGGAGTCTGTCAAATAAGCAACAGTTATGTTGTGCACAGCAAAAATCTGCAAACCACCTCATCTTTACGTTTGCTAAACCATCTGCCATGCAATGACCAGAATGTAAAGAAGCAAATGTCACTTGGAAAACAAAAAAACCCCAGTCACCAAAAGCCACACCATGTGTTCTGTCTCTGACACACACTCATTCGTGCAGAGAAAAGGATGCCATACTAACCGGTCCAGGGTGGTTAGGGACTCAGTGTCAGAACTTTGGGGGAGCAAAGAAAAAGGAAAAAAAAATAAAAATGTGTAAAGCTCACAGAAAAACTCCCTAGAACACATTCTAAGCAAAAGGCAAATTAAATGGGGAAATCAGGAAGCCAGGGGAGCGTCAGTCTAAGCAGGGTCTCTACCTGGGCAGCACACACTGGTTGGAGCAAAACAAGGACAGAGATGAACCAGGTCACCTCACACAGAAGCCAAGCACCACTTAAAGCACCACCCAGGCTTAAATTCGAGTGCAGACACCACACTTGGATAGAAAAGCTGCCTCCTGCCTGCCATCAGCTGTTCCTACTCCAGAGGCCCTTCAGAAGATAACACCAAATAGGAAGAATATTTTTTTTATATATGAATTTTTAGAATATAATCCCACTGCTCTGAAAAATCAGAGAGCATGTCTGTGCTGAGAGGGACATCTTGTGGGGATGTCACAGCAGAGGAGGGAAGGAAAGGGAAAATAAACACAGGAAAAAATCCCATGAACTATTAGAAAAAATATTAAAGGATGACTGAACAGGTCCTTCAACTGAGCCTAACTGGAATTTCAAGCCCTGAGCCTCTACCAGAGAATTTCAGTCAGACAAACTTAACCACCACTTCCTCACAGCTGAGCAGCGATTGTTTCCTCTGAAATGTTCATTTTTCAGCAGTATCAGCTCCTCTTTGAGCTGTTTCCCTCCTGTCCTTGCTGCTTTTACAACCCTTATGATACAGACTGTATGAGTTCAAAGGAAAACACAGCATGCACATAAGAAAGAACACAAGTTCTGTTTATTCACTAAATTATGTCACCCTTGGGGTTTGGCTCCCAGCAGGGATACGAGGGAAAACCCAACACCTTTCCCATCACAACAACTCAGCCTGAGGCACACGGGCCACAAGGCAAGTTGGTGGGAGCCACAAACCTAAAGCAGGGTCACACTCAAAGCCTTCCTCAAAACTGAGCTTAACTTCAGAGAGGCCTGACCTTTGTGAGTTCCAGAGACCAAAAAAAGGCCAACTTGAAATGAGAGAATGTACCAGGGCAGCAGAAATTGCTTTGAGCTCCTCGAGACTGCTGAAACACGAATTAGGCAGCACAAGCAGGCACACAGTTCTACCCATCTACTGCATCAGATCAACCAAGAGCCACCACAAACCCTCCTAGCAAGATAATCAATCCCTGCTTTCAGTTGTTGCTGTGTAAGGCAGTGAGAACAACTCACTAAGTCCCTCCAGTTCACCACATCAGGAAAAGCACACAAGTGCGCCCAAGTGCCCACCACAATAACAACCCATTTCCAAGGAGAAATAAGGGCAAAACTGTGGAAATACCTCTCCAGGACAGTCCCACTGGCAGCAGCAGGGGCAGCTGACTCGGTGTCCCCAGTGCCATTCCCTTGGTTGAGGTTTGGGGGACAAACGTTGCTCACGGAAGCAGATGGGAAGTCCTCGGGGGGCTCGTCAGGCCAGCCAAACTGTTCTTTGGTTTTGCCATAAATTTTTATCGAATCCATCATGGTGACTCCAGCAGGATCCACAGAAGCCCCAACTGTAGTGATGAGAGAAAGTTTTTAAAAACTGAGAGAACTATTGTTTTTGGATACAAACCAGCCTTGTTTCACAGGACCAGGACAGCAATTACACCGTCATTAATACACAGCCACTGACACTGCCATCTCCTTTGCAAGGCCACTTTCCTTCTCTTACCTCAGCACAAAATCATTGAGCTGAACTACTGAACATTCACTCACAGCAGCAACAAACTGGGCCATAAATAAAGTTACCAAATGCTCAGGGCTCCCCCCTCAGACTGTTTTTGCAGTCAGGGCAAACAAATGGATTGTGGCAACTCCCTGCTGTGAGGTGGAGCAGCTTCATCCCAAACCAGCCCATCAGCTGGTCAGAGCAAGCAGTGCACACAGTCTTACTGAAGATGGTGAGCTTCTTGTCAGCCTGCAGGGCCTCCTCGCGGGTGAAGGGGAAGTCGAACCAGCGGGCGCGGGTCATGTTGAGCTGCATGGTGCGGCCAAAGATCTCCAGGTAGGAGGGAGCTCGCTCGATGGCCTGCGTGCCGATCTGGATGCGCATGCCCGTCATCACCATCGTGCTGTTGTTGTTGGTCACTTCGATGGTGAAACCCCCAGGCTGCAGAGAACAAACCACAGCTCAAAAACTCCATCTGAAGCCAAGGACTCTGTACAGAGGTGCCTCCACTGCTTACTGAATTACAGAATCACAGAATCACACAGAGTTACTGGGTTGGAAAAGACCTTAAAGATCATCAAGTCCAACCCATGCCCTAAATACTTTAACTAAACCATGGCACCAAGTGCCATATCCAGGCTTTTTCTGAACACGTCCAGGGATGGTGACTCCACCACCTCCCTGGGCAGACCATTCCAATATTTTATCCCTCTTTCTGTGAAAAACTTGTTCCTAATATCCAACTTGAATTTTCCTGACGCAGCTTGAGACTGTGTCCTCTCATTCTGACAGTTGTTGCCTGGAGAAAGAGACTGACTACAACCACCTGACTACAACCACCACCACCTGACTACAACCACCACCACCTGACTACAACCACAACCACCTGACTACAACCAGATTTCAGGGAGCCGTAGAGAGTGATAAGGTCACCCCCGAGTCTCCTTTTCTCCAGGCTGAACACCCCCAGCTTCCTCAGTTGTTCCTCACAGGGTCTGTGTTCCAAGTCCCTCACCAGCCTCACTGTCCTCCTCTGGAGGTGCTCATGCATCTCAACGTCCTTCCCAAACTGAGGGGCTCAGAACTGGACACAGTGCTTAAGGTGTGGCCTCACCAGTGCCAAATACAGGGACAGAATGACCTCCCTGCTACTGCTGGCCACACTGTTCCTGATACAGGCCAGGATGCCATTGGCCTTCCTTGGCCACCAGGGCACACTGCTGGCTCATGTTCAGTCTGTTGTCAACCAGTACCCCCAGGTACAGTACTTGTGCGGGGTCATTTGAACAAAGCAGACTCCTTAAAGCAAGGCATGGCATCAACATGAACAGTAATGTCACCCAGAAGCCCAACAGACCCCAGACTGCCCCACTCACCTTTGTGTTGGCCACGTACATGCCCGTGGAATTGAGCCGGTGCTTTATCTGCTGGGCATTGTACACCTGCAGCAGGTCATTGCCCCCGAACTCCACGTCTGTCAGCTGCTGGTTGTGCTCAAAGAAGTCAATGGGGAAGTTCACCTGGCTGGATGTGCGAGTTGCTAGAAGGGGAAAGACATCTTTGTGACAAAAGACATCCTAAACAGGCAAAGTTGTGGTAAAAAACCTGCAGAGACAACTCGCCTCCTTTGGAAAGTATTTCTATATGCATCTGTTGAGTTTTTTACTACTCAAACTTATGAAGAAGAAGGTGAAAAGGAAGGACTAGTCCCTGTCTTAAAACTTCTATATTGTTTTATATATATAAGTGTATTTTAAAACTTCAAACTCTAAGTTTTCTACTACGTGAATAATACACTTTTATTTAAACTATGCACTAATAATCTTACTTTTATTATTTAATGTTGGAAGGCTTCCCTACAGCTTCAGGTCAAATGTAGTGTTCTCTTGAGGGTCAGTGCCTATGAGTGCAGAAAGCCTAAAATTCTCAGTAACCAGGGTTCCAACATCCATCTATGGAAACATTTTATCCACTTAGCCAGTACTTAGGTAACTGTCAGAATGAGTGTTGTAAGTATTTAGATGATGTAGATAAATCTTTACATCTCCATTAGTGTCCTGGATTGCAAGATAAGTGTGTATTCTATTTGCCATCTGTTAGAGGTGTGGCAGTTATCTTCTGTTCATTAGACAGTTTTCTTTATCTCTTCCACAACCAATCCTCCCTCCAGGAGATCTCTTCTGTCCATGGCCAGTGAGTGTCCGATTTTGGCACTTTGATCCTGTTCTATTAACAGAAGATAACTGCCACACCTCTAACAGATGGCAGACAGAACACACACTTATCCTGCAATCCAGGACAATCAGTGACACAGGTGATGAGAGGAGCGCTTACTGATGGCGGCTGCCTTGCGCTTGCGCACGGGTTTCATGATACTGATGACGCTGCTGGGCTGCAGAGAGGGCTGCAGCCAGTAGGACGTGTTCTCCACGTTGGCCATGTAGATCCTCAGGCTGCCATCCTCACACAGCAGGATCATGGTGGTCCTCTGCTGCTCATTGCAGGCCGTGTGACGGATGGCCACCATGTCCTGGATCTGCAAGGCAAGGCAAGGGCTTGGCAACTCTCGGAGAAACAAACTCGTTATATTACAAAAGCTGCCAAGACTGGAGATCTGATTCACAGAATAACAAGAAACCAAATTTTGAGAGTTAAAAATACAGGGAACCGTGAGTAACCTTTGCTTTGGCTGGCAAGGTCTTAATCTCCTGGATGAGGAAGGTGTCTGGCTTCACCATCACTACCAGTGGGACACCCGTGGTCTGCTGGACACAGCACACCAGGCCAGGGTGGTTCATCACCTCAGACCACTGACACAGGGCTGGAGAAGTCTTACTGCCACCATTGGAACTGCAAGAGACACAGGGCACAATGACATTCATTTAAGGAGCAGCACAAGGAAAACCACACAAATTTCACTGTGTTCAAATCAGTTAAAGCCTTGTACTGAGCAGAGATTCAAGCACTGCATTAATAAACAAGTGTCTGGTTTACAGGTGAGAAACCTGAAACACAGTCACCACAGTAGGCAGAAACCACGAGCATCCCAGTCCTCAGCCCTGATCCCTACCCTGCAAACTCAAGGAAAAACTGGCTTAGTGTTGCATTTTACGCCCCAAATCAAGGAGGCAATTTATAAATGGCTTTCAGCAATGTTTTTATCTGAATGGATGAACAGTTCCACGTTTCAACACACCCAGCAGCAATAAGCAAAGACCAATGCAGGAGAATCAGTGTCTGCTCACTGGAAAAAGTGGAAACAGAGCTGCAAAAAGACTAAGCCAAACTCAACTGGAGTTCAGGAGCTCTTGGAACCTGACTCTCCTTCAGAGCCCACTCGTGACAGTGGCTTTGTGTCAGGCCAGTGAAGAGTCTGTGGTCTGAGTGCCCAGCACTGCGTATCAGAACACACAATAGAACTGTCTTTTTCTTGCCACATTCATAGAGTAAGAGATTGGTTTCCCTCAAGGGAGTCTGAAAATCAGCCTTAACATGCACAATGCACAAGGTCCACTGCAGCAGTGGTGCTGAAAGGAAACAAAGGCTTCCTTCTCGGCCGCCTCGGTGGGGGCGGATAATCCCATCGGTTCCAGCGGCTGCACCTCGGGCGGCTCACTCTGGGCAGCTCCACTGCTCTGCAGACACCTTTCTGCTCTGAAATCCTGCTGGGAGGACAAAATGCATGCATGGCCCACTGCTGAAACAACCAGCTTTGGTTTCTAATCATCCTGCAGCTGGGATATCATGGAATTCCTGAGCTGGAAGGGACCCACAAGGATCACCCAAGTCCATTAAGACAGCAGGACCATGAAAAGTAGCAAGAAATCATCAGCCAGCAGGGAATTTTCACCACACCTTTTGGCCATTCAGAGCAGGGATGTTTAATAATAAGCAATATTTATTATAAAAAGAAATAAATAAAAATGCAGGGAGTGTCCCCTAGGATCCTCACCTCTTGATGTTAATTGGGAAGAGGCGCTGCACTTCCAGGCTGGCCCGGCTGATGGTGGCTGCAAAGGATTTGCCTTGGCAGTAGCTGAAGAACAACATCTGCAGCACGTGGGAGTAATAGACTGACACCCCCCCTCCTGCCACCTGGCCATTGCTGTCCTGGGGGATCCAGAGAAATGCCAACATTTAACATAAACACAAATATCCCCAAACACTGTCAGGCTTTTAAATTTACGATGGAATTATTCCCAAAGCCGCCCCTCCTCCCCAGTAGTGAGAGAACAGAGCCCTAAATGACAATTTTCTAAGCTGAACTCCTGGGTGAACTCATCCATCAGACACTTCAAAGGCTCTGGGAGGGGATGCTGAGCCTGCACACCCAGAGGCTGTAGGTAACACCCTGAGCTCCTGAAGCTGTGAGCCTCAGCTCTGTGTGACAGTGTCACATGGAGCATCCCCTGGATGCCCAGCTCATAAAAGACCTTCCTGAGAGTCTCCTTCTCATCTATTCCTGTTTTGAAGCAGGCTGGGGTAAAAACACTGGAGAGATTTTAAAGGTCATCCTCAAGAGAAGAAACAAAGGCTGACTGCAGCTTTCCAGTCCCAGCCATGGTGATTTATCCCTTCTGCTCCTGCACCTTTGGAGTGCCTTGCTCTGAGAACAGCACTGCTCTGAAGCCATTTCCCTGCTGAGAAATCCTGCTGGGCATGACTTCAGAGCCAGCCATGGAAAACATGCTCCATTTTCTAGATGAAAGGATCAAGGGTTTAATTTTCACCCCCACCTCCTTATACTGTAAGGATATTTCTCTCTTTAGAGGAATGAGAAAGCTCCTTGATCTAGATCAGGGGGCTTAAAAGGAGAAGGAAAAAAGAAGGAAACTTCTGCCTTCAAATGGAAGATGCAAAAAAAGAGAGAAAGGGAAGTCACCAGCACCTTCACTGGAAGGGACCCACAAGGATCACCCAAGTCCATTAGGACAGCAGGACCATGAAAAGTAGCAAGAAATCATCAGCCAGCAGGGAATTTTCACCACACCTTTTGGCCATTCAGAGCAGGGATGTTTAATAATAAGCAATATTTATTATAAAAAGAAATAAATAAAAATGCAGGGAGTGTCCCCTAGGATCCTCACCTCTTGATGTTAATTGGGAAGAGGCGCTGCACTTCCAGGCTGGCCCGGCTGATGGTGGCTGCAAAGGATTTGCCTTGGCAGTAGCTGAAGAACAACATCTGCAGCACGTGGGAGTAATAGACTGACACCCCCCCTCCTGCCACCTGGCCATTGCTGTCCTGGGGGATCCAGAGAAATGCCAACATTTAACATAAACACAAATATCCCCAAACACTCTGTCAGGCTTTTAAATCTACGATGAAATTATTCCCAAAGCCGCCCCTCCTCCCCAGTAGTGAGAGAACAGAGCCCTAAATGACAATTTTCTAAGCTGAACTCCTGGGTGAACTCATCCATCAGACACTTCAAAGGCTCTGGGAGGGGATGCTGAGCCTGCACACCCGGAGGCTGTAGGTAACACCCTGAGCTCCTGAAGCTGTGAGCCTCAGCTCTGTGTGACAGTGTCACATGGAGCATCCCCTGGATGCCCAGCTCATAAAAGACCTTCCTGAGAGTCTCCTTCTCATCTATTCCTGTTTTGAAGCAGGCTGGGGTAAAAACACTGGAGAGATTTTAAAGGTCATCCTCAAGAGAAGAAACAAAGGCTGACTGCAGCTTTCCAGTCCCAGCCATGGTGATTTATCCCTTCTGCTCCTGCACCTTTGGAGTGCCTTGCTCTGAGAACAGCACTGCTCTGAAGCCATTTCCCTGCTGAGAAATCCTGCTGGGCATGACTTCAGAGCCAGCCATGGAAAACATGCTCCATTTTCTAGATGAAAGGATCAAGGGTTTAATTTTCACCCCCACCTCCTTATACTGTAAGGATATTTCTCTCTTTAGAGGAATGAGAAAGCTCCTTGATCTAGATCAGGGGGCTTAAAAGGAGAAGGAAAAAAGAAGGAAACTTCTGCCTTCAAATGGAAGATGCAAAAAAAGAGAGAAAGGGAAGTCACCAGCACCTTCAGGTCCTCGTGGTTGACTTCAAGCACATTGGTGACATAGAAGGGCCCGTGCTGGGCACTACTGGCCTCCTCCATGAGCTGTGTGTAGATGTAGCCAGCAGAAGACATGATCACAATAATGTTCTTGCCCTCCTCGTTGAACAGGAAAGTGACATCCCTGATTTTGGAACTCGGTAGGAGGAAGTAGAAAGTTGGACTCAAGGCATCTACTGAGAGGTCGTAAATCTGTGGGAAGAACCAAGGAAATAATTAACTACAATGATTATAAATTGTAATAATTGATTACAATTTTTAATCAATTATTACAATTTAATTCCAATTTAATTACTGTAATTAAATTGTAATTAACTGTATGATACAAGACAGTGCAAATGAACAAGAGCTGAGATGAGGAGATCCCCAGGAGATGTTACAGTTTGGGGCTTTTTTTCTCTTTAAGTTCTTTGGGTTTGCTTTTCCTTGCAAGAAACATCCCAAATTTATATTTCCAATTCATTTCTAAGAATATTACTACATTCTCCCACATGCAACTCCCCAAGGATCCAGACTCTGATGTCTGCCAGAAGCTGCATCACCAACAGCTCATGGCCAGACATACCTTCACAAAGTCTGCAGTGACAATGGCCAGCTCTGTTTGAGATCCTGGCAGCCACACAGCTTTGATGATGAAATTCCCAGTGGCCAGTTGGGGATGAAGCACCAAATGATCAGAGACTGATCCAGAGCTGCTGAACGTTAACACATGGCAATCCTGGAGTAATGGAGAAAATTGGTTAAATATTAAAAAAAAAGTGTTCACAAATATTTGAAGCCAAGAATGGACTTAAAAGTCAGCATTTCTCTTACAGCAAATAATGATTCAGAGAATCTAAATCTCAGTTTCCTGCGTTGAAGATAAATAACATGAAGATTTGAAAAGAAAAGGCGACAGAGAGCACAGCTTTTTCTCAGCTAAATAACACATCTATAGATTCTGCACTGGGAAAGCTGAATCTAAATTTGGGGGAATACAAAAAAGAGGAGTTCTTGCCAAAGAACACTAAGTGTTACAGACTAGTTTTAACACACTAAGTTTGGGTGTGTTTTGTTTTAAGCAAGAGCCAAAGATTGGCTCTTGTCTTAAAACAAAATCAGTTAAAATATGTTAAGAAATACTATTTCAAGGCACTGTCTCATTAATTATATTGTTCATCCAGGTCCTGCTTCTTTTACCTTATCTACCTAGTAGGAAAGTGAATCAGGAGCTGAATTAGTGACAGAACTTTGGAGGCAGCTCTGTGCTAACTCCTCGGAGGAAATAAACACAGCTGGCTTTCAGCTGATGCTTGCAGCTCCCTGGAAAAGGGTTTGCCAGGCACTTACCTTCAGCCCACACACAGCCAGATAGTCCTCCTTGCAGGGATTCCCAGTCAGGCTCAGCACAGTGAATGGGACAGGTGCCGATGCCAGGCGGGTCAGGGTCAGTTTCCTTTTGCTGGAATCGGCTTGTTTCAGCAGGGCTGAGAGCTGCAGCACTGTGATCTGCACCACAGAACCAGCTCAGTTATCTGACTGCAACTGAGGGGAGTCAGGCATTTCAATTCCAGATCCCACAGTTACAGAACCAGAACTACAGACTGAACATGGTTATCTGACTATAACTGAAGGGAGTCAAGCATTTCAATTCCAGATCCCACAGTTACTCAGTTGATTCTGAATCAGAACCACAGAATCATCAAGGCTGGAACGGATCCATGAGATCACTGAGTCCAGCCATCACCCCAGCCCCACCATAATCACTCCTAAACCACATCCTCAAGTGCCATGTACAGATACCTCCTGAACACTTCAGGAGCTGGTGACCCTACCACCTCTCTGGACAACATATTCCAATATCTGACCACTCCTACAGACAAATTTTTGTTTATGGTAACTGATTTGAATCTCCCCTGGTGCACCTTAACTCTTGTCCTTTTGCTGGGTCACGGACACCCACCTGACTCCAAGCTCCTCTCAGGTGGCTGCAGTGAGGTGGGTGATGGCAGTGAGCTGTTCTCACTGTTGCTGCTGCAGGAATTCTTTTTCCTTAACAGTTTTTCCTATGAGAGGTTCTCCATAGCTACACAAAACTTCACACCAGATCTCAAGATGGGCAGAACAAACCACAGTCCTGCCTGTTCCTCAGCACTGTTCCCTTTCCCTGGGAACTCAGTGGATCCAGCACTGTTCCACTTCCCTTGGGAACCCAGTAGCTCTGGCACTGTTTCCTTTCCCTGGGAACCCAGAGTATCCAGCACTGTTCCACTTCCCCTGGGAAACCCAGGATCCAGCACTTTTCCATTTCCCTGGGAACCCAGCGCTGTTCCATTTCCCTCTGGAGCCCAGCAGCTCCAGCACTGCTCCCCTTCCCCCGGGAGCCCAGGGCTCCGTGTGGGGGCTCACCTTGCCCTTCTCGTGGCTGACAGCCAGGTGCTGGCGGCGGCCGTGGGGCGAGGACAGCACGCACATGGCCACGCGCCGCAGCACGTGCGCGCTGATCAGCTGCCGGATGGTCTGGCCCTGGTCCCCGCTGTAGTTCATGCGCACGTTCTCAAAGGCACCTTCCTGCGAGCCCAGGGTGGGGACCTGAGCCAGGGAAAGCATCCAGAGGGTGTCACTGGAATGTGTCTGTTTAAAAGCCACTCCCCCCATCCACACTCTGTTAATTCCTTCTGTTCCATACCATCAGCTGATCCGTCATTTCTACTGATTTGTCCAAAGTGTGGAGCTCACTGAGAGCCTGCTGGGCACGGCTGCTGCTCCCCATGGCTGAAGCCTGCTGGAAGTTGACCTGGATGGCATCCATCAGGAAATTCAGCATCTCCAGCACCAAAGGTGCAAAGGAGAAGTTGGCCTACAAGAAACAGATCAGGCAAATGAGGAACAAGATGCTCCTGATGGGAGCTGCACATAAACTGCTTTTTAAAGCCTGACACCCTTTTTTGACCCTCTCATCTCAGCTTATAGCCAACCCAGCCTGCCCAAGATCCTCATGAGAGCCCATCTCTGTTTAGCAGCTGACAATTATACCTGGGACTGCAGCTCCTCTCGACAGCCCTCCACGTTTCTGCACAGGCTGCTCTTCTTGGGCTTCTCCTCGTCGGGGCCCTTGCCCTCGCTGATGGTGACCTTGGCCTTCTCAGCTGGGGACGTGCTCGCGTGGCGGATGACGCTCTCAGGCACTCGGGGCTCGCTCTGGAAGGCTGATTCCTTCATGGTAGAGCTCATCCCACTGCTGGGAGTTCTCTTCACCAACGCCTGGGAATGACAGAGTAGCACTAAAATCCCAAACCAGGCTCACCCTGGCTACTGATGAAGTGAACACAGATTGCAAAAGCAGTAATTCGAGGACAGTTCTAAAGAAATAACATCCTGCACGTGACTCTCCACCCAAGGATTAAAAACTTTCCATATTTCAGATATAATTATTTCATTTGCTGCTAGTGGAAAACACGGGAAAAGGTGTTGTTTGCTGTGCAGCAAATTCTGTAAAGGCAGGTGGAATCTCAGGAGTCACTAGGACACAGATGCACCAATGCTCTTATTTGGTGCAAAAAAAATAATTTCCAGGTAAGCTGTAAATTCTGAGGGTTCATTATAAAGTCAAAGCCTTCAAGTCCTAGCACTCCTGTGCACACAAATCCTGACATAACCTACTGCAGAACAGAAAACTGTAAAGGACTTGAAAATCTGAAGACATAAAAGAATTTACCAGGCAGCTGCCATCCTCCTTGGCTCCACAGTCACAGAAGAAGGATCCGTACTTGGCGTAAGAAATCTCATGATCCTTGTGACAAACTTTAGCACAAACTGTGCAAACACCAACCCCATCAACCATCTTGCAAGTGTGACAGTGGTACCTGCCCAAAATAAGCCAGGTGAGTTTTGACAGGCAGTGCCTTGAGGCTCACAAACTACACTGGTTTCCTTCCCAACGGCCAGAAATACCAGCCTGAAACTCTGAACACAAGCTTGAGATTCTTACCAGTGTTGATTCATGAATTCTTTCTGTGTGATGGTGAAGGTACAGAGTTTATTACAGAGAGAATCTTCATCCTATCCAGAAGAAAATTGTTTTAGGAAGGTGTCATAACTGCAGCTACAGTGAAGTACATGTACAGAAGAAATTCCCAAGAAACCAAAAGTACATTTTAATAGCAAATTTCAGCAACACTGAGCTAGAAGGCAGCTGGTATCAAACCACATGAAGAGAAGAGACAGTGACACATTGTAGTAACATGAAATGGTTAACACGAAAAAGAAACAGTAACAAAAATATTGATACAAAAAAAAAAAAGAACATATTCTAACAGCTTTTGTTCACCACCCAACAGCACTAATTGAAGTTGCTTGCTGATACAAAAACTAGTAATTGCAAGCCAACCAGTAGGAATAAACCCATTTTTTAAATTTCTTCCTTTTAGTTAAAAAAAAATAAATATTAAATTTTTGTTGACATCACAAAGTCAACACATCTAGGCAGGAATGACAGATCCTCTTCTCCAGACCTGGCAGGTAGGGTCCTTCACTCAGTGAACACAAAATCTCAACTGATAAGCTGAGTGATTTGGAAGGCTCAAAATAAGCCCTCCAATCCTTTGCAGCACCCACTGTGCCTGCTGCCTACCGAGTCCTCAGCCTGAGAGTCCTCCTCCTCCACAGCCAGCTCCTCCACCCAGTCCGAGTCCACCTCGATGGCGCGCTCCTCGCCGTCCACAGACAGGTGGCTGGGGCCCTGCCCGCTGCTCTGGCTCAGGGCGTTGGTGACATCGGCCAGGTAGGACACGATGTGGCACGTGCACTCCAGGATTGTCACATGCTGGGGAGCAGAAGGCAAGGAAAATTAGAGCCCACAGAGCTCACAGCCCACCACAGCTGCGACAGGGCGCGAACACAGGAGAGTGACCCCCTGGCCAAATTGCTTTAAAATTCCAACCAGGTTCTGTCCCACCAAACCAGGACAGCTGAACTCGTGCCTGGGAGTCCCTCCTGAAGTGGAGCACCAGCACAAGTCTTACCTTCCCTTGCATGACGTTGGCATTCATTTTCTCTACCACGTTCTTTTGAGACAGGTATTTCTTGCTGCAACACAGAACACTGGGAATTACTACACAATGGTTTAGGATGGAAGGGATCCTAAAGCCCGTCTCATCCCATCCCCTGCCATGGGCAGGGACACCTTCCACTATCCCAGGATGGACCAAGCCCCGTCCAGCCTGGCCTGGAACACTTCCTGGGATGGGGAGTCCAAAACCCCTCACTCCAGCTGACAGCCTTTGGGAAGTATAAACTCAGCCCAGACCAACTGCTTCAAGCATTCAGTTTGCTTTAGATTAACAACAGGGAATGCATAAATGCAGTAACTAAACCATCCAGAGTAAAGAAACAAAACGTGATTGTTTGGAACAGATGGACACAGATCTGCCTCCCTCAGACACTTTATATCCCAAACAACAAACGATAAACTAAGAGAGAAGGGATTATCTGTAAACACAAATTTCCGTCCCCAAAACACCAGAAAAGAAATTAAAAAACCCCCATAAATGAAGCATTAGCAGTACAGAGTTCACTCTTACCATCTGCCCAGCCAGTCCACAGCAGCACCATGAAGCTGGAGGTGTCCTGCCCCTTGTCCTGCACTGGCCAAAGTTGCCATGACGACCATCAGCTCAGGAAAGCCCGTGCCATCCCCATTGGCCAACATCTCCGTTGCCATTGGTATCAGAGTGCTGAGCAGAACAGTGCACACGCCTTCCCCCACTTGGCTGAGCAAAAAGAGGAGAGTTTCACACAGGTACCACAAAGAAACAGCAGCAACTCCCACGAGATTGTTCTAGAGAGCAAGAGGAATGCAGAGCACGCACAAGACAGGACCAAGGCTGTGCTTTACCTGTTCTCCCGAACAATGTAAGTGGTCAGGAGCTGCAGCAGCTGCCTGTTCTCCTGCACCACGTCCAGCTGGTCCGAGTCCTTGGGTGGGGACATGGTCATCCTGGTCAGCCAGGCCTGCAGTCTCACAGGCTCCACACAGGCCAGCTGGGCCAGGGAGCCACAGAGGCGCAGCAGGCTGGGGTTGGGGCTCTTCTCAGCTGGGGGGGAAGTTACTGTCAGTGACAGATACTCCAAGAAACACATGTGGAAATGGCTTTCCTTGAAAGCATGAAGCTGTGATCCCACTCCCTCCCACAGATTTTCTTCCAAGCACCTTCCAATCTCAGACAATACAAGAACAGTGTGAAGTGGAAAAGGCAGGAAGGAGGAGATCCTACTGGCACTTACTCAGCTGGAAGAGCTTGGTGAAGAATTTCAGCACCCTGTTGCAGAACTTGGCCGAGAGGTTCTCGTTGGCTGTCGCCATCATGATCTGCACCAGTTCTCCGCTGTACAGAGGGGAGAATTAAATCAGCTTTGTAAAGAGCAGCCCACTCCCCTTTTCCACTGGCTTCATTTCTCTCCGCCCTCACGTTTCAGACTGGCAGGAGTTTGTGTTAGCACTGCTCAGCAGCCAAACCACAGAAACTGCTTGCAGTCAAACAGCAAACCCAGCTCAGACCAAAACTCATAAAAGGGCTCCTCAGTAGCATTTCAGTGTTCTCTACATATCCAGTCACAAAAGGGCCTGAACTGGCTTCCAAAACAGAAGTCAAGATTTTCTTTCCTATCTTTCCCTCCCATACTAACAACGTACAGTCACCAGGCTGCTTTCATTCTGAACTGTTCAACACGTAGAGAGAAAAACCAGGCCATGTTCAGCTTTCTGATGGAGAAAGCCTTCCCTCTTGCTCACCTCATACTCAGAACACTGTGGTTGTGCTAGGCTGTTTCTATCACAGCTGTTCTAGCTGTTCTAGGCTGCTGCCAGCACAACTTACCTTTATGGTTCTAACCCCCTCCCCACTCTGAAAATTATCAACCTGTGGCCCCACAGAAGCTTTGAGAGAATTTGCAGCTTGGAGCAACATCTCTCAGAAACCTGCTCTGACAGAACAATCATCCTCCGAGATTCCCCACTGACCATGCGAGGCCTCACTGAGTATTTGATTTGGACAAAGATCCAGGTCCTCTCCCCCTGAGAGCCTCTTCCCACTCTCCTGAACTGCCTGAAGGATAACCTGGCTCTACAGAGTCAGTATTTTCCTGCACAATGGCATTAACATCACCTTGGTGTTTACACTGACAAGCTAACAGAACAAGGACGAGAAATGAAGTCCTTGGAATAAAACTTCCATGGTGACTTCACCTTTCTGAGAAGAATTCCTCCATGGCTTTTCTGGCCTGGCTGCTCTCCAGCTGTTTCTCCAGATGCTGCAAACATTCCTCCAAGATGGACTCATCCAGGCCACTGAGGATGAAAAGAGGAACAGATAAGGATCAAATACGTGAGGATGAAATAAGAACATCTAAAAACAATTTCAACAATCACAACAGTTCTGAGAGGCCAGAAGTGATCTATTTGCCACTACAACTCCAGTAATTTTTCCAATTGAAAGCAGCTCTTTTTCCAGCTGACAGGAGAAAAACAATTGATGAACAACTTTACATAAACACCAACAAATCCACCAAGTTAGAACAAAGGGACACATGATGCTGTAAGCCAAGTCCCAGCCAGAAACCTGAAATAACCCAGACCTTTCAGACACCTCACACACAAATTCCTATAAAGAGCTGCTCCTTTCACACTTTAAGTCTCTTCTACCGCTACTCCTCCCCATTCTCTCCTGCTCTCACCCCCACTCCACAATTCTGGTAATGTGAAAAAAAAAATCTCATATTTATAGTATACAAGTACAGAAGCTTTCAGCAGATCAAAATAAGCTGATTTTTTCTGTTCCAGAAGCAACCCTGCTGTAGCCAATCTTTGCAGACAGTTTTGTTACCTGTTTGGGTCAGAGTGATGGGCCAGTATGTTATAGCACCCCGTGATCAACTTCTCATAAACACGTGCCAGGAACTCATCGGAGTCCGCCGGGCCCAAGATCCTTTCCAGGGAGTTGCTGCTGATTTCTGCCACACTCTCTGTGCTGGTCTCCAGAAGGAGGGGCAGCAGGGAATGGATCACCTGGGGCGGGTTCGGATCATCTGACCAGCTTGAAAAGAAAAGGACACAAGTTAATTCTCCACATGATGTACCACAGATCATCCCTACTGGAAACCAGAATTCATGTTACGTGAGGCACAACTCTGGATGGAAGCCAGTGATGAAACCCTTTTGCAAAGGTGGGATAAAAACACTGGCCCAGCCATTTTCCCCTTTGGAAAATTCTACATGTTACTTTTGCATATATACAGTTACAGCATCTGCCTAGACAGTCCCATTATCATATATCCTGGCTTTGGGGCTTGTCTGCAGTGTTAACAACTACTTTTTGATTTCAGAGTACTTTAGACTAAGTCCCTGGAAAAACAATGGCATTTCACTTTTCCTTACACATTAAAAACTTCACACAAGTGAATGATAACAAAACACAAATGAATTAGTTAGATCCATATTGTGTCAGTTTATATCCCATTTTCTTCAAGTCCATATTTGACAAAAAGGTTTCCTTCAGGGAGCTTTACTTTTGGAGATACCACAGGAAGACAGAAAGACTGTCTGTCATTCATTTGGTATTTGGAACTGTGAACTGGAAGGTTTAGGTCAGAACCAGCACCAGGTCAGTAAGTGTTGCACAGACACAGCCTGAAGTCAGCCCTGGAGGACACAGAGCAAAGCACCCAGCAGTGTGTGGAACACACAGCGTAACACAAGGCCTGACTTACATGATGAGATCCCCGGTGAGCCTGACCAGGGACAGCAGGGTGTGCTTGAGGGAGGCTGCCAGGGGCAGGCTCTGGCTGCAGAGGGTGCCCAGGTGGGCGGCCTGCACGGCGCTGATGTAGCTTTCTGCAGGGATGGTGTCGTTGGCAAAGGCGTTGCGCTGGGGAGGGAGACACACACACACATCAGAGCCCTGGATGTGGGACACAGCCACACACTGCCCCCGTTCCCAGCAATGCCTGCAGCTGCACTCACACCACATCAGGCCCTGAGGCTGGACTCACCCATGAACCGATGTTGGGGAACTCGTTGGTGTGGATGTTGTTCCAGGATTCACACAGGGTCTGCACAGCTGATGGTAAGTTCTGGACGAGGGTTGGACCTGCAGTTACACGGAACAATCAGGCACTGAATAAATTCAGAAGTCTACAAGTACAAATCATCCCTAAGTGTTTAAGAGCATCCCAGCTTCTTTAATTTCAGTAAAACTGCAGAAAACATGGCACAAATACTAATTCACAGAAGTCTTCAGCATACCAACATTTCGTAGTTCCTCTCGTTATTCCATGCCACAAGCTCCAATATGGTTATAAAAATCTTTCACTGATCCAGAGGAGCTCACAAGATAATGATCCTTTCAAGTATTGCTCAACTGTTTCAGTTGGTAGGATACTAAAGAGACTTTGCAGTGTGCTGCTGGCAGCACAACTCACTTGTTCGAAGAGCGGTGGAGATCACTTTGAAATTGGGTACTGGAAGCATTGTGGGAAGATTCACCCACGGGGGAGGCACCCTGAAGCCCAGCCCGCCCCGGCTCTCACCCAGAGTGTTGGACTTGCAGCGGCTGGAGCCGATGGCCAGGACAGCGGCGTAGCCCCGCAGCTTCTCCTCGGAGGGTCTGCTGTCCGAGGCGGCCTCCTCCGAGAGGCTCCGCAGCAAGTAGGATCTGCAGGCAGGAGGGAGGGAGTTACCTCAGCAACCGGCTCTGCAGCTCACAACTAAGTGTGTCAATGGAGTGACAGATAAAACACAAACTTCTGAAGTTCTGCCCCACACTTCATCTCACACCAAGGGACTTCTGGGCTTTTATCCTCTCTAAGCTACTTAGCAGGAGAAGTGCCCAAAAAGAAAAAGCTGATTTACTTTTGCTTTCTTCTACACAGGTTCTAACGAGAGTTTAGAAGAATTTAGACGTTTTAATGTAAGAATTAACCCCCCCACCTTTCTTGATGGTCTGACAGCCTCAGTATTATGCCAGAGAAATAACCTTAGGTAGCACTATCCTAGAAGGTGGTTTTATCTTTGGAGGAAAAGCTGGTTTTGCAAACTTGCAAGGAAGCCTTGGAAGATCAGACAAGGAGGCTACTCAGAAACAACTAAGTCCCATGCATGGCTTGAGAAGCTACTTGTTATTCTTCTTTTAAAGCAATGGACCCTCTAGAGGACAAAGTAATTACTTCAGACTATAAAACTCCCAGGCACTTCTAAGAAAACAACACACAAAATGCAGAGGAAGCCCAAAGCACAGCAGGAAATTGTATTCCTGTTGGAAATCCCAAGGACTGTACCTGGTAAAAGTAGCATAAGTGTCAATGAGCTGCAGTGTAGCAGGGAGGAGGTTCTTGGTTATCTCTGAGGACTTGTGGGGATCAGTTTCTGCAGCTGACTTGGAAAAGTGCTCATCTAGAGAAACCTGGATCTTGGAGATGGCAGCATCAAGGGTGTAAATGGATTGTAAACTGGGGACTTCGTGCAGCTGGAGAATGGTTGTGCAGTCAACAGCACAGAAAGAAGAGATCTGAAAACACAGAAGATGGAACAGTAAGTGCAGATCATCCCAAAGAAGCAGAAGTTTATATGTCCAGCTGCAGTCCCACACCTCACCTGTCGAGCAAAGTATTCCTCTGCTATTTCCACGTCGTACTTCACTGAGATGCACTTGCTGGAGGTCAGTTCAATGAGAGGAGCAGCATGTTCAGCCTTCATGCCCTGCTTGATAAGGTGATCCTACAAATGCCAAAACCCAGATCCATCACACCTGAACAGTGCTCTGGAATTAACCAGTTTAGAAAAGACAGGCACAAGTTCCCCCAAAACAAATCCTACGTGCAGTCAGCACAGAGGACTGACACTGTCACTGTCAGCACCCCCCACGGAGCTGAGGCTGTACCTTGATCCACACAACGTAGGACGGGATCTGCAGGCGGGAAGACCAGCGCAGGGTGTGCAGGAGGTCACAGTCACTCATCTCGGGGGTGTTCATGGCCAAATGGTGCATGTAGCTTCTGGAGGGAGGCAAAATCCCCAGGATCCGCCACAGGATCAGGAAGTAGTACTGAAGGGCACAGGCTTCCTGAACAGAGGAACAGATGGAAAAATTAGCACAGAAAGATTGCAGTCTCCATCATTACAGCTACTGAAATATGTCCTCAGGGACTCCACACTCCTGCAGATGTGCCAAATCAGATGAACACATTCTGGACTGAGTTTCTGTCATACTAAACAATAAAATATGCAACACAGGAGTGAGAAAAGAAAAAATGATCCAATTTTCTCCTGTTTCAATTGTGTTCTAGCCACACCTCCTGGAATTACCATGGACTTACAGCAAGTCTGAAGCACATTATGAATTAAAAGCTCAAGAGATGTGCAGCCACCACAAACACTATGGTTAGCTATGAGATTTTTAAGTTCCTCATTACTCCAAGCACAGTCCAAAATACTTTGGTTAAATACTTTGTTTGAAAATACTAAGTTTGAAAACTTGTTATTCCTCAACACAGGCAGCAAGACAGTCTTACCAGTGCAGTGACATTTTTGTTCTCCCTCCTCCTGAGTGTATCAAACTGGGAGCCAGCAGCCAGTAATGAGGTGAGGGCTGCATAGAGCTCGTCGTACTTCGTAGCCCTGGAGAAAAGGACCTCACACACCTGCAGGAGATGAGAAATCAGGACCCCTGCTTTGCAAAGCTCTTTAAGCATTCACAATACCTACAGCCCAAAACCTTGCAAAATAAACTTCAGAGAGAGGCACTGTTTGGACTGAGGATCAATGGACTGGGGATAAGGAGCAGGCAGGAGACAGAGCCCATAACCCTGATGGCAACAAAACCCAGGGAAAAGCTGGAACAAAGTGATGAGAAAACAACTCTAATGTGTCTTTGTCTGAATCCCAAGCATTCCTCCAAGTACTACAACAGCTTTTCACAGATTTTGCACAGTGACTGCCCTGACATCCAACTAGGGGTAAGAAGGAATCCCATATTATCTTATATGGCCACTCTTCTCCATTTAGTGAAAGATTCATGGTCCCTCTTTTTAATCAAGTCTTTCTTTCTTGTCTGTTTCCCCTGGCACTTGGCAAACCCCCATGGCCCTCCAGAAAGTCTCTACCAGCAGTGCCATACCGTGCTATCCAGACGGTTCAGATCATCCTCAGAAGCTTCTGGAGACAGGATGCAGTAGAACCTGGGCTGTGGAGCAGAGTCTGGAATGTGAGAACAAAAAATAACCTTCAAAGTGGCAGTTGAAACAGGCCACATTGTGTTATGTCCTCTCCTCCATCCCCATAACCTTCTGCATTGTATGACCACTACCAGATCCCAAGCCAGCTCCAGGACACATTGGAGGTGCTCTAACCTGTGGCACAGGCAGCCAAAGCTTTCTTACTCTTACAATCCTGGCAAAATAAATTCACACTTTTATTTTTAATTACTTGTTGCATACTCCTAGGAGAGAACAACTTTGCATTTTGTTTAATAAAACAATTCTTGCATTATTAGATGTATTTTTACCTAATGTAACTATGGCCATTAAAAGCAGGAAAAGACGCCCAAACCAAGGCACAGAAAAGGCTCTCATTTATTTATAAAAGCAAATCTTGCAATAAAATTTCCTTACATTTTCTTTCTTACCTGATGAACAGTGTTTGGTCCAGTTTTCTTCCACTTCTTTAAAGCCATGATAAAGTGGGACAGATGTTCGTCTGCTGCTGTCCTGGGATCCACTCACCCAGCCAATGGGTGGAGTCAGCAAATTATATTGTACCTGAATTAAAAAAAAAACAAACAAAAACCCACCCATGACATCCTTGTCACTGAGGGGTAGGGGGAAAATACCACCCCACAGAGAAAGAAACACAAAATAGAAACAGTCCTACTCAAAACACAATATTCCACTCTTCTGGGGGAAGCCCTGGACCCTCCCTGATGGTTTTTGCTCTGGACTGAGCAGTTTAAATCCATGGCCAAGCTTTCCACAGTTGGAAAAGCCAAGCACAAAGCACCATACTGTCCCATTAACGAGGACAGTCCCAAAAACCTCCATGGTCAAACACTAAATCAAGGAAGTACAAAAGGTATTCGTGAAATAAACAGCCAAATACTTGAGATTTTAAAGATATGGTGGGACAATCATCCTGTCCTTGCTAGGATTTATTAAAACACCAGTCACACCAAGAATTTACACTCCAACTGAACCTGCTGCAAGGAACCAGCCATAATTAATCATTCCTTGGAACTCTGAGGTTTGGTAACAACATCAAAACTGATTTACTCACAAGGGTCATGGAAAGAACACATCAAATGAGTGCCCATCACAGATTCCTGCTGGGTGACCAATTAAATACCCAGATGTCAAAACCTTACCTGTTCAAACAGGTACACGGGGGCCTTGGAATACTGGTGCAGCAGGTAGTCAAACACCAGCAGCAGCCGTGCCACAATAAGAGGCACAGAACACTGCTGGGTCTCCATGTTTGCTGTCAGCTCCACAATGGTCTGGATACAGAGCATCATGATGGATCTGCGGCCCCTCTCTGAGAAATTGTGGAAAATGAGCAGCAGCAGCTGGAGATGCTCCACATTCAGATCTTCTGTGTCACTGGGGAGAGTCCCCTGCAAGGCGTTTTGCTTCAGGGTGCCCACAAACCTGGCAACAGGAGAGGAAGTTTGCCAAGTTTAGATCCCTCTTTAAAATCTCTTTAACTAGAAATAATTATATTTTTCTGCTTACTGTTCTAATACTGGCAATTTCACAAATGTTCACTACATTATGTATTGGAATGAGACCATGTGAGCAGTAAAACCTACAGAAAATAAATCAGTGGCAAATGTATTTAGTGGAAAACAGGAACAATCCTTCAAATGGAGAAGGGGTGATTCAAACCTGTTCATTAGAGCTTTAAACCACCTAAACCCTATCAGTGAAAGCCAGGTAATGGCAGAGAGGAACAACCTCAGCACCATCCTAAAAGGACCTATCAGAAACCTGCTGAAAAATAAGAGATCCTCCTTCCCTTTTTACAGCCAGTCTTGCTGCAATTCAGCCTCCTCCCCTCTAACTCCTGAGTGCAGGTCTCATTTCCTGGGCTCTGGTGAAGGATTCCCCAGCACAGCAGACTGACTCTCTGCTCCCCCCAGCACCACACAGATCCCAGATCAAGGAACACACACACTTGGAATGCTGGGGCTAGAGAATTCTCACTTGACAGGAAATGAGAGAGGTAAGAGATGACTGATTTCCAGCTTAACATTAAAAGATCTCACCTTTCCCAGACTTTAAGGCATTCTGGAACATCAGGATCTCCCTGGGCAGTGGCTTTATGCTGCCAAATCAGGAGGAGTCGGGACAGCACAGACAAACTTTGAGGGTGGATGTAGAGAGGCCAAGGACCTTCAGAAAAAGGGGCAACTCCAAGTTGCTGGAGAAGTGTGTTCTGGAACAAAACAGGCTTGTTGAAAAGAGGCAAGTCCTGTCTGATGCTTTAATTAATTAAAAGTAGGATCTGAGCTTACAGTTGACAATAAACAGCAGGGCTCTCAGCTCTGCTCACACAGCAATGCCTCTCCTGTCTCAGATACAGGGCAGAGCTACTGAGAGACACTCAAAGCTGTCACTTCACCACCTAAACACAACAAAGTCTCAACACCAAGGCAGAAAAAATGGCATTAATGAGTTTTTCTCATTCACTGCAATACCAGAGCAGGAGAAACTATGCTACTGTGTTCAGTATCTGTGAATCTGCAAGAACAGCCCCTTGGCTGATCTATCAATATTTGCTTCATTTCAAATGTAATAAAAAGGCAGATGGATGAAAAGTCTAACTGCTTTTAAAAATTAACAAACAACAGCGTGTTTTTTAATACAGTAGAAAACAGCCCACAAAGTATAGGGGTTGAATTCAGTGATGGGTGAAGCAGGTTCATAACCTCCATGACAGGGTTAAGTCAGGTCAGCCCTAGAGGTTACAAAGTCAGGACATGCAAGCAAAAGGATTAAGGTGATTCTCTCCTGAGAAATTCCAAGGCCTTTTGGCATGAGTCCTGCCAGCAGAGCAAATCTGTAGGAATGTCTCTTGATAAACTCATGGATAGAGACAACTCTCCAAGATAAAATACACAAACTCATTTCCTTCTCAGCTTTCATCACCTTCAAAGTCCAGTGGATTAGTCTGAACTCTAAGTTTACACTGTGCAGGATGCTTTGTGCTGGATGACTGCAAAGGTCATTCAAATCATGGGACTCAAAATATTCCAACCTGTTTTTGCAGAATATACTCAAGGCAAAATGGAACAACCAACACACTACTCAAGGTGTGGAGAACCCATATAGAGGCATAAACAGACACCAACACTTCTTCATTTTATTTATGCATTCAATCCCAGCTCACCTGCAGGGCAGGGGACTGAAGATCTGAGGTCACCAAGGAATGGTTGAAGTGATACAGTGCAGCAGCAAACTCCTCATCTGATGTGCCTGTAAGACAGGGATCGAGAGCCACTTACTACCTTTGCTCTCAGTATTTAAAACTTTGACATTAAACCAAAAGAAAGAGACACCTCTGGGCTGCACAGCTCTACCAGAGAGGTTTGCTCACTCACCCTTCAGGCCATCCTTGTCCACCTCCTTGATGATGCTCGCCAGCGTGGCCATGTGCTGCTCCGACAGGGACACGCTCAGGTAGTTGCGAATGAAGTTATTCCTGGAGTTCAGCATAGAAGAAGTGATAAAGTTCAAAATGTTTGAAGCTAGGCTCAAAAACTGAAAAGAAAAGAGAAACACACTATAGAAACAACAAAAGCAGAGGGACAACATTAAACAAAAACTAAACCACCATCAAAATAAATCAAGTCCCTTAAACCTCACCCCTGCAGTGGAGGAAAGGTGCACTCATGGCAATCCAGCTCCCTGCACTGTGGTCTGCACCAGGAGTGAGAAGGTTGGAGGCCTCCAACTTCTCCAATGCAGTACTTATTTTTGTCTTTAACCCAAGAGAGTTGGAGCTAAAAGCATTCTATCAGCAAGTCATGTCACTTGCAGCTCTGCCCCCACCTTCCCTCTCCCTCTGTAACCCAAACAGATACAATCTCCAGCCTCTGCTTCCCTGGCAGCAAAAATCCTGAGACACTCCAGAGGAGAGGGAGAGGGGGAGGGAGGAGAGGGATCCTTCTCCACAGCCACAACGTTCCCTGATTCCCCTGAGCAGTGCACCAGAAGCAGCTGCTGTTTCCAGCACAGCAGTCCCTGGCAGGAGCAGGGTGCCACGGCCCAGCAGTGCCTGCCCCAGCCGCCCCAGCCCCCCGAGCCAAGCTCTGGCCGTACCAGCTCGGGGTCCTTGCGGCTGGCCAAGATGTTCCCGTTCTCCCCAGCACTCTGCTTGTTGGGGCTCTTCACCCTTGGCGAGCTCTCCAGAGGAGGAGGTGGAGGGGGGGGTGGTGGGGCCACTTTCTCCTTGCTGGGAGAGATTGTCTCTTCAAACCATTGCCCCAGGATTGGCTCACTGTCGTCATCTAGCACACAGGGCAGGAACAACAAACCCATACAGTTATAAGCAAACACCTCACAAAACTACCCAGCCTGAGAAAGGCCTAAACCAGAATTCCACTGAGCAGCCTTAAGGTGTCTGCTAGCTTCATTTCTTCTGTCCAAATCACAAGGCAAAGCCCTTTCACAGAGATCCAGCAGGAATTTACATAAAGAAATTATTTCCACTCTCCTCTTAAGCAAATGCTGTCAAATCCCAGCCACTCAGGCTGCAGTTTACACAAAAGAGTGCAGTCAGCAATACTTCTGCCACACAGACCTTACAAACTGCTCTGTATTTTCAGTGTTACAAGTCATAATCTGAGAAGGCAACAGCACAGTAGTCAGGTTTCCATTAAATGTGAAAAGCAGTGTAAAATCCTGAGCTGCAAACTCTACTACCTTGGCTGCTGTCCTCCTCAGTGCTGCTGAAGTCATCCTCATAGTAAGTGTTGGAGTCAGTGGAGGCACTGGCGTCGCTGCTCATGGAGCCCTTCCTCTGGCGCTGCAGGACACAGGCCTAAAGAACAGCAGAACCAGGAAAATTCTGGGATTATAAAAGATAATAACTTGAAAATAAGAGTAACTTCCTCATGCCTTTTAATTTTCTTCTAGCAAATTTATCTCAACTAGATTATTAACAGTTTTTCAAGGCTTAAGTTGTACTAAAAAATACACAAGATGGTTGAAAGTAAACAATCTACACCAAGCTTGTAAGCAACACTTGAAATAACAGTTCTAATACAAAATCATCTCTTACCAATGCAGCCTTTTCATCTTCCCACTAAAATCACAAGTACCACTGAACTTACAAAAAAAGAGCATTTCCATTAGCATAAGTTTGTCAAATTTACATCTCTGAGAAGAGGAAAGAGAAAGGCCCTGGCTGACAACTTTTGAAAGAAGAATTGTATGTTCTCAGCCAGGTCCAGTTTATTAAGTGCTGACCATATGGAGTGGCTCAGCTCCAGAGGTTCTCTAGCTGTGTGCCAGTTCCTACCTTTCTGTAGGAAGTGGAGAGCAGAGTCAGTAGCAGATTAGTGAGTGGCACAGAGTCTATGAGCCGCTGGATCCTCTGGATGGACGTGCTCTGAGCCATGATATCCAGCACTGCTGGAGGGCCGTCGCTCTCCCAGCCCTGGAGGACAGAATTTCAATTGAATTGAAAGAAAAATAAATTGGTAGGAGAATCCCAAGTATGCATCAGTGGAGAAGGCAGAATGTCTCAGGACAATGCTACCTGCATACCTTGTGCAACGCCTCCACCTGCAGATCTTGGAAAAGAGATGACAGCAATTTGATGGCATGATTTGCCAGCACCACTGACAGCACCCCAAACCCTTGATGCCTGCAGAAACAGAAAGGACAGAATGTCATTTCAGGGGAAAAATAATAAATATTCAATAAAGTGACTGCTTTGCTAAACTGGAGACAACAACTTCTCTTCTTTCCAAGACTCGGGACTTGAATTGCACATAGAGATAAAATTTCATGAGACCAACAAGACCCTGCAGTAGGTGCTTGCTGGGGCTGGCTAGACCCCTGGCCCATGCTTCCTGCAGGGGTGTCACATACCCTTTCCCAGGTCCCAGCTTGGGAGACCCCACGCCCTCCTTAGTGCGAGCAATGATGTCTCTGACGCGAAGAGCAGCCAAGGGATCCTTCTCCTTCCCCTTATCAGCCAAGGCCGTGGGGCTGAGGTTCAAGATGAGGAAGAGGCTGTTCAGCAAACACCAAGCCCCGAGCAGCTGGAAGTTCTGATAATGCTATCGTGCCAAACGTCATGGGGAAGCAGGGAGAAAAAAGCACCAAAAAGACAAAACACCGTCAATCCAAACGCCAAAGTACACCGGTGCAAAAAGGGTGAAAAAGTTACTGAGATGGAAATCTTACCTCCCCTCCTGCACGGCGTGAATTGCTGATGGCTTGTCCAATCATTTCATAGATTTCAAGCTGCAAATAAAGCCAAAAACATAGTAAGGCACTGCACCAGACTGTGACAAAAATAAAAACTCCAAATGCAATTGTATTTTACCCTGAAACCCTTTAACTCCTTTACCAGCAGTGGCAATGTCCCAAAATCATAACTGTGTATTGCAGTGCAAATAAATACAAATTCTGTGCTCTTTGCTTGCTGAGGAGGAAAACAATGAATGCTCTGTGGTTTACTTACACATTTCTGTACAATAGTAGCAGCATCATTTTCATAATCTTCTTCTTTGGAGCTTGTTGACCCGGTTCGTACCTGCTGGGTGCTGCCCACATGCAGGATGGCCATGCAGGTGGCCACGCTCACACCTCAGAGAAAACAAGTGCAGGGGACATTCTTAAGAAGAGCCAGTCTTGGGACAAAATGTTCCTATTTGGCACATTAAGACAAACGGTACCAAACGTGTCCATCAGCTTGATGGAGCAGGGAATGCTCAATATTACAGTGAAAGATTAAAAAATCTTTAGTACCCTCAAAAGAGTGAAGTTTTCCCCTACAGAAACACATGGGAGCAGTTAAAGGAGGTAATATTTTACCATGTAATTCAATACCATTTTTAAGACAATCTTTAGACTCGAGTGCCACATCTCCTTGAAGTATCCCACACACCAATTAAACACTCAGGATTTTGGTGTGCTTAAACCACTCCTGGGAAACAAGGCTGATTTGGGGCTATAATAAATTAAGCTGAAGCCTAAAGTAAAAATGTATTATGCTCTGAATATAAAAAGAAAGAGCAGAAATTACAGGCTGTTAAGAAAATGTTGAGTCAGTCTTTCTTAGATTCTGACAGGAACAGTCATTCTTTCAGTCATTTCTTAGATACTGACAGAAACACTGGCAGAATATATCAGTAACAACTTCAGTATTAACCCGATCACCACAAAGTGCTGCAGAGCTTCAAATTCATGAGAAATACAGGCTACTTGTGGGCTGAGCCTCAAACATGCAGGTAACAAAGCACAGCCAAAAGCTCCAAAACCTACTGGAGATCCACTCACCTGCATAGAGACAGCTAAGAGCAAGAACAGTCACGTCTTGAAGACGTGTGGGCGTCAGGGGCTCCAGCACAGGCAGGGACAGAGTATCCAGAGCCATGGTGACATCGATCACCAGCGAGTGGAACCTGCGGGCAGGACACACGGTGAGGCCTGGCCAGACACAGTGACCTCCCCCGGCACAGGGGGATGCCCCAGGCAGGGCTGGCACTGACCCGTTGCGCACGGCCGTGGCGTCGGCCACGGTGGCCGGCATGATGAAGAAGGAGTTGGCGGACACGGCGTCCTGGAAGCGGTTGATGTAGCGCAGGAAGTACGGCAGGTTCAGGCACACGCGCAGCAGCTTCTCGGAGCCACCTGCCAAGCACAGCAGCAGGGCTGTGTCACTGCTTCATTCAGCCCTAACGGCCTCAGTAATTGACTTAATTGCTCTTGGTGGTGAGAAAATGCCATCGGAGATGAGGCAATAGGATAAAGAGTGCTTTACAGCAGCAGCTGCTGAACTTTGCAGCCCACACTTGTAAACAGGGGTCACAAAGCTCTGTGTCCATGTTACAGGACACACGAGGTCCAGCTGGTGGACTTGATGATCCCAAAGGTCTCTTCCAACGCCAACAATCCTGTGATTCTAATCCACATCTACTCAACAATCCATAAGGTATTTCATACTGTCCACCTAATTTACCCCTCCAAACACAAATACACTGAGCTCATCTCTGCAATAAAAACTCCATTCCAGACACTTGGTGATTGACCAGGCAACTCAGGGAACCCTTTAGGTCAGAGAGTTTCTTCCCACTCAGAGCTGTGAGATGTACACTGGACAGACATTTTTCCAGTACTTTTTTGGCCCCTAGGTAGAAAGCTGATTCTCACCAAGTTCTTGCAGGCTGGCCACGTTCTGAGCAATGAATATGCTCTTAGTCTTTGTTGCAGAGGTTTGATCTGTGGCAGCTTGATCCTCGCTCTCTCCTTCCACCTAAAGCAAGCACATACTGAATATATCATGAAAGCACTAAAAATACAGTATTTCTCTAAGTAAGTAATCTTAATTTCTCTAAGTATTTCTCTAAGTCTCTACACAGAAGCAAGGTGCATCAGCAGCACAACTCCAAACAGCCATGGATGTCTCTGAACACTGCATTCCATGAGGAAACAAAATCAGTATTGCCAATTCAGCACAAACAGTATTTGGTTGTTTTTTTATCCCATGCAAGCAGGATTTATGTACTTAAGAAAGGTTCTCTTTACACCTGTATCAAGAAGTACCACTTACAGCCCTCTGTCCTTTCCTGCACTGTGTTAATAATGCTGAAATTCAGACAGTTTCTGTTTTAGAGGTTTTTTTACCTGTGTCTCTGTTGTGATTGATGGTGATGACGAGACTCTGGGGTTAAAGACTGATGTCAATTGGTTGAGGAAGTTCATCTGCACTTCCTTCTGTCTCAGCTCTGGGCTCACTGGGGAGGCCAATTCCTTCTGGTCCTCAACTGCAGGGAAAACAACAACCCCCATTTCAGACAGCAGATCTCAGATCTTCTGTGCATAACTGCAGTGCTGCAGTGAAACACACACAGCTGAAGCCCCTCCCTACCATCAGAGAGGGTTTTGACAGTCTGAGGCAGCTTGGCTGATTTCATCATCGCTGTGAAGGTGATGATTTCTGTGCGGTCCAGGCGGCTGCAGCCCGTGCACAGTCCCTTGATCAGCAGAATGAGGTGTTTCTACAGAAAACACAGAAATCAAGTACCATTTAAACTCTCCTGACTCCAATCCCTCCTCCATATCATTTACTCTAAGCAGATGGATTAAGAGTAATGCAACTTCAGCTGGTGAGGCCACTGCAACAGCTCTGAGCCACTCTGATCTCCCCCGAGGATGGAGACACATCCCTGACTGCAGGTAATCCAGGTCACTGACACTGCCTGTGCTTCCCATGGAAAACACCTGGAAAAGCTCTCTCTGCTGTGACACACGACATTACAGGAACACTCCTCACAGGCCTTCCCTCTTTCAAATATATTTAAGCTTTCCCACAAGAGGTAGATACAAGCAGGCAAGAAAACACCTTTAAAAACTGAACAGATAGCTGCGACCCAGATTGTTGCACAAAACCAAACCAGAGTGTAGGAAATGAACTGAATTAACCAAGGCTTCAGGTCACCTTTATTTCGAGTTGTGAGCGAGCTTTGATTCTGAGTGCAGAATGCAAAGGGGCAGGAATCAGAGTCTACCAAAGTGTGCACCTTAAGTATTTTAAGAGCTTCATTAATTTTGCTTTATGCATTCAACATTAGAGCAGATATTTCATAATTAGAGCCCAAAGTCCATTCTCACACTGAGGCTGTCCCGGGAGGTCCAAACCTGTGCTCACCTGTGAAACAGCACATGCTTCGTCTGGGTTTTCAAGCCGCAGCAGGGAGAATTCAATCAGGACTTTACACGCAGCTGCCACTGACTGCAACTGGTTTCTGGGTACTGCAAAAAGCACATCCTTGTACTCACAGTAAGTTTTAAAATAGCCCAGTGTAATAAGCTCCCAAGGCTGTCAATAAAGCAGGATGCTCTGCAGTGTGGGTACACACTCAATCTCTCTTGCCTAACACAGATGCAATATAAACTCAGTCTCATTACAATGTAACCCAAGAAATGTCAGCAAAGTGAGGATAATTCCTTCTGCCAGACAGGAGAATTCACACAGATAAAGCAGTTTCCCCAGCAACATTATTTAATGCTGACAGAAGCTCTGAAGAACATGAAACAAGTTCACAAAGCCCATTTTTTTGTTGAAATTGCTAAACTGTCAGCCAAAATAACAGAAAATATTTTGAGTCACAATGTTTTGATCATTAACTCCAACACAGTAACATAACTACAGAAGCCCTGAATGGTTTGGGTTGGAAGGGACCTTAAATCCCATCCTGTCCCACCCCCTGCCATGGCCAGGGACACCTTCCACTAGATCAGGTTGCTCCAAGCCCCATCCAACCCAGCCTTGGGCATTTCCAGGGATAGCAGGGTTCTAACTGCTGAAGGATAATCTAAAAATCCTGAACACGGATTTAAACAATTGACCAAGAATTGAATCAGGTCAATGAATAAGCAGCCAAAAAGGCAACGCTGTCCAGGAGTTGGTGGCCAAATACTCCCATCAACAAGCTTCTCTTTCCATCAGAGCTGACATTTCATAGTACAAAAGCCAGCAATGCTGTCCCTGAAGTCTGATTCAGCAAGAGGCCAAAAAACAAATACAAAAATCAACAGTTCTGATTTACTTTTACTGCATCCAGTCATTACACAGGAGCAAGAGAAGCAAAGGAACACTTACTGAGACCACACACAGTAGTGATGTAGTGTGTGGAAAGTGCAACGAAGGAAGAGTAGAAAGGTTCGTACTGCTTGTCGTGGTGCAGGATCTCGGATTCACTGCAATGGAGAAGGGGACAGAGGTCAGCCAGAGCCAGCACAGCAGCACCACCCAGCACCCCAATGAGTCCAGAGGCAAGACAAGGTGACAGCTCTGGGAACACAACCCTCGTGTCCCCAGGACTGAGTCCTCCAGCAGAAGCCAGATCATGGCATCAGCATCACTGCCCACACAGGAAATGTAAGGAAATACTGTGCTGCCAGTGTTTCTCCTCCACAACATCAACAGGTCAGGCTCTACCAGCTGCACTCCCTGCCAGAGGCTCATTAACCTTTAAGTTGTTCTAAACTCAGCTGCCCAGAGAGCCTGGACTGTGTGTTCTGCTAAGGCTGGCAGGATTTGCCAGGCCTGGAGGACAGGCATTCCCTCCCCTGCACGGCACTGAGGCAACTGGAGCTTGTGCAAGGCTGCAAATGAAAGGGACCAAAGCAGGCAACTGCAGAACCGCAGCACACACAGGCACAGCACCTGGGACCACCTGGGAGGGAACTGGGCAGGTAAGGCAGAGTCCCTGAGGCTTCTCAGCTACACTCACTGCCTCAGAGATCAGCCTTTTACAGCACAGGTGACACCTTAAAGGTGTCCCACCACAGCCCACCTGCACAGACACGGAGAACACAAACTGCTCTGCCTCCTCACCTACTTTTTGCTCTTGTTTTTCCTGTGACAAGACTAAGGGATGTGCGTATCTGCCTCGTAATCAATCAATTTACTTTCTTTCACACTTTCATGCAGTGAAATGAGCAAGCTGGAAGAACACATTATTAGACTCATCTTCACTCTGCCTCTCCAAACCCAGGCAGGCTTCTCCAGCTCTGGGCCAGAGGTGATTCCTGGAGGGCAGGTGGGGAGCAGAGGGCAGCAGCCCATGGCAAAGGCTGTACCCAGCTCCAACCACGATTTCACCATTCCCTGCTGACCTGAACAAAGCCCAGTTTATGCCCAGTCACCTGCCCTTTTTGCACCCTAAGCCATGGTTCCCAGCTGTAACAGGAGGTGCAGCCAGAACAGAAACAACTCTGGAACAGAACCATTTCTCCACAAAAACTAGCAGAAAGAAATACTTGTCAGCTTTGCAGTTTGATTTCCTAGGGCTGAGGTTTTATTTAGTCTGCCTAAAAAGCTGAAATACAAATAGAAAAATAAAAAATAAAGAGAGAGGCTTTACTGGAATATATTCAACAGCATCACACGACCGAGTTCCAACACCTCAGGCCTCACCTCACCCTCTCCTGCCAGAACTGCTCTGGTGAGGAAGGAGCCCAGAGACTGAACATGCAAAGCAGCCTGTGCTCTCTCCTTTTTCAGACATTCATTTTGCTCACCTACCTTTCAGGCCCAACTCCAAGCCAGCAGCAGTAGATGTATGTAAGCATTGTTAAGAGAACAAATTAGAACAATTTGGGAATAACAGAGTACAGGAGTGGCTGACAGCTCCCAAATTACTGCATAGGTCAAGCTGTGCACCACACAGTGCCCACAGGGTATAAAGAACACAGAGGTGCAGAATCCAGCACAAGATAGGGATTGGGCAATGGGAGGTTTGAGTTTGACTTAAACACACTGTGGATGTTATGGTAATGCAAAGTGAAGAGCAGCAGTCAAGTCATCATCAATCCTTGCAAATAACCATGGACGGAAGATAACAGCTCAATCTGGGATGTGCTGGAGCACTATTCTGAGCACACAGTGAGCTTTAATAATGACTTTCCAGCCTCTGGACTGCGCTTTATTGCTTAGAGGGGTTTTGCTTCCCAGGGAAGCTCACTGCTCAGGCTGAGACAAGTCTGTGTCACTGTACACATTAATCAGCACCAAACCCCAGCCCCTGCCTCGGCTCTGCTCCCCAGTCCTGAGAGCCCCAAACACAGCCTGTCCCCAGTCCTGGCAGCCCCAAACACAGCCTGTCCCCAGCCCTGAGAGCCCCAAACACAGCCTGTCCTCAGGGCAGGGGGCACAAAGCAGCCTCCTCCTGGGGCAGGCACTGCTCCAGGTGCAGTTCCCCCTGTGGAAACCTCTTCCCCAAACAAGAGCCTGGAGTGGCTTCACAGACCCGGAGTTCCCCTCCACTGCACCTTTCCAAGCCAGCATTCCATCATTTATGTCAAAAAAGGGCCTAATTTCTGTCAATTTCTGTCAATTCTTGAAGACACCTGCTAACAGAGACACTGGTAACCTGATGATGGTTAAACTTATAAATGAAATACCAGAGTAGTTAAAAAAATGAGTTTATTGTTTTATTTTGAAAAGAGTAATACTGCTGATTTCACTGTCACTGCACCAAGTTTATTTAAGGGGAAATCCAGGCACTTTGGGGTTGGCTGACACCATCAAGAGCTCAACAACTGCCTCCTAAAAATAACTTGAACACATAAAAGATTTTCTGTGAGAAATCTAAAGATAGATTCTTGTTCAGCACAGAAAGGCACAGCTCCAGACACGAACAAGTTGTATTTATTCCTTGGTCATTTAGCACACCACACCAAGGCATGAAACAAAAAATACCATCCTGCAAGAGCCCAAATCCTGCCAGACCACCAGACACACAACTCCAATGCCAGGCAGAGCTGCTTGGAGGCAATAAACTGCTGTTTCAAGTGGAAAACAGAATCAATGTTGCCTCTAAAGGAGGAAACAGCCCTCTCCCAGAACTCAAGTGGATCCACTCCAGTGTCCCTGGGATACTCTGATGGAACACTCCACTAATGAACTTCAGGCACAGGGACAGGAGCTGCTTGGGGAAAACTGACACTGGAATGGTCCCTAAAACAGAGAGTGGCCAAAGAGCTGCCCAAACCCACTGACGGTGCAGCTCCCGGGGGAACAACTGCTCTGTGTGTGCAGGCACAGAACTCCTCTAATTAACTCTTTCAATCTGAAGCATCCACTGCACACTCAGCCATTCTACATTAAACAAAACACCACAAGGCATTATTTTACCACCTTCCTCAGTGCACTGGTTATTTTATGTTTCCTAACAACTTATTGTGGCTGGGGTTATATCTCTGTAACTGAGCATGATGCTGTGGCATTCACATCTCGTGTTTTAGACCATAAAACTAGCTGTAAGTTGAATTAAGTAGCTGCAGTGGGTACTCCTATGCTCTGACTCCAACCTGTGTGGTTAAGACAAGGCAGACTTGATTTGGTTCTGCTTTATTTCGACTTAAAATAGGAGAAGCACTGCAGTGGAAAAGACTTAGAGGAAAGTCTGGTCACCCCCCGAGCCCGGTGAGACAACACTTCCCACGGCCCAAGCGAGCAAACTGTGACACGCCTGGACAAAAGCAAAACCACAAGAACAGTCCCGAAGCCTCTCGGCGGGCGCCTGTCCGAGGCGCTGCGGCCGGGCGAGCGCCCTCAGCCCGTTATGGGGCCCGAGGGCACCTCCGAGAGCTCCGGCCCCGGGACAGCCGGAGGAGCCGGGGACGGAGCTCGGAGCTTCGCCCGGGCAGCCGCAGCCCCGCCGGGCAGCGGGCACCGAGCCCGGCACCGGGCCCCTCACACCCGGCCTGGCCCCGCCTCAGCCGCCCCTCAGCCGCTCCCGCAGCGGCACCCGCAGCGCTGCCCCTGAGCGGGCGACGCCGACGGGCGGCAGCCCCCGTCCGCTCTCCCTCACCTCTCGATGACCGAGGCGAGCAGCTGCGGCAGTTCCTTCATGTCGAAGGCCGAGTAGGACGCGGAGAGCAGCGGCCGCACGGCCACGTCCCAGCCGGGCCCGGCCGCGGCCCCCGCGCCGCCCGCCGCCATCTTGGGCTGCGCTGGGCCGGGGGCCGCGGCGCGCACAGCGCCCCCTGCCGGCAGGGCGGCGACCGCGCAACGTCGCGCCGCCCCATTGGCCCGCGGCGGGGGCGCGTGCGCACTGCGTGAGTCAGCAACTTTGGCGCGCGGCGCGTGCGCGGCGCGGGGAAGGCGGGGCGGGGCTTCGCGCATGCGCCGTGCGCGCGCCCCGCCCCCGCGGCTGCCCCGGGGCAGGGAGGGCTTGGGGGGGGCCGGAGAAATCATCCAAAAACCCCAAAAACACTGGAATAGCGAAAAAATCCCTGCTTCAAGAGTCCCCCAAAACACCTAAATAAGGAAACAACACCCCCACGTAAATACCAAAAAAAATCCCCACTTAAACAGCCAAAAATTCCCTTAAGTAGCTTGAAACCCATTGAAATAGCCCCATAAAACCACTTAAACAGCCCAAAACCCACCTCAATGGTCCCCAAAACCCACCTCAATGGTCCCCAAAACCACACCTCAATGGTCCCCAAAACCACACCTCAATGGTCCCCCAACACCCACCTAAATAGCCCCAAAATCCACCTAAATAGCCCCAAAACCCGCACCTAAATATCCCCACAAAATCACCTAAGTAATCCCCAAAACCACCTAAATATCCCCCCAAACCCACTTGAACAGCCACAAATGCCCACTTAAACAGCCCCCAAGCCCCTCAAATAGCCCAAGAAACACTTCACAGCCCCAACCTGCTCCCTGCTCCGCAGCTTTATTTTGGAATCTGGACGCTGAGGGGTGGGGGCGGGGGGATATGGCCACTCCTGGGGGACAAACTCGGTGTCAAACTGGATCTTAACAACTAAAATCCACAGTGTTCAGGGTGTGAGCCCGAAGGGAACCCCGAGAGGCTCCTCCCCCTGAATCACCCACCTTAACCCCAGTTCTGAACACAAAAAAAATGCAGGAAAATTTACAAACAAATGGGAAGGAACTGATGTTGTCATAATAAATAAAGAACATGGAGAGGCTTTAGGTTGAAATTCTTCCCCTCGCTCTGCAGCTGTGTCAGTGGCTCCAGGAGGCCGTTTCCCACTGCCAGACAGACAAATCCCAACGTTTTTCCTACAGAAATCACCCAAGGTCTCTTCCTCACAGCAGGAAGAGCCCTCCTTGCTGCCAGATGTGGGGCACACCTGGCACAGCCAACCCTCCTCGCTGCAGATGTGGGGCACAGCTGGCACCGAGGGAGAGCCCAGGATGAGCAGGACACACATCCTCAGGATTCTCTTCACCACCACCAGGGAGACACTGATTCTGGGGCTTTAAGGGAGATTTGGGACCTTCTTTTTCAGTCAGACTAAAAAAGTCTCTATTTTTCATCTCTTCCGTTTCTCCTCGAGGGAGACACGCAGGCAGCGCAGGCTTTGCTCCTCCAGCAGCTTTTCCTCACAAATATCTTCCAGCCAAATGGAATAGAGGCCTCTGGGTCCATCCCTCGGGGGGGCTGGGATCCCAGCCCAGCTGCTCTCCAGCCTGGGCCTCCCTCAGCGCCAGGCCCGGTTCAGCAGCTTCACCTGGGCCAGCCTCTTGGTGATCATGGTGGCAAAGACCAGCCCGAAGAGGACGCTGCTGATCAGCACGTAGTCGTAGTCGTCCTTGAGCACATCAAACTGCTTGGAGGGGTACACCCGGGTCTGGAAGATGTCCAGCCCGTAGGCTACAACCTGCAGGAGGGAGATCAGGAGCTGGGGATGCAGCCTGGAGCATAGAACCCCCAAATGGTGCCCTCAGGTGACGGTTTGAACGGAAAGGAGCGATGGTTACGCTGCGAGCGGCCCGTTACGGGAGTTACAGAATTCAGATCCACCCCAAAGTGCACACTGGGGCCTCCCCCCTGCTCTCACCAAGCACGTGGACTCGAGGCCAGAGGGGGCTGTGTAAATCCCCCTCATCCTGGAGATGGTCTGGTTGTAGTTGATGAACCTCTCGGCGTGGATCTGCACGTCTGGTGAGTAGGGGATCAGGTTCTCCTCCCTGCAAGGCACCAAGAGACATCAAACCCCAGGCAGGCAGCACACAGCAGCTGCTACCAGAGCCTCCCGATTATCAAAAGTGACCCTAAATCAGCAAATCTGGGAGCTTTTCCCAGTGCAGATTCATTACTGCTGCAGGAGGAAAATCAAATGTATCAGCTGGGTCAGGCTAAGTGAAACTTATACAAGTTAAGTGTAACTCTAAAAAATCCAGTTGCTCTGACTGCTCCTCCCTGAGAATACAGACACCAGGCTGGTTTAAGGCCTGACCTGCTGTAATACAGACAAATGCATCCCATCATCACAGCTGGGAACAGAAGTACAGAATCCTTCATGTTGGGAAAGACCTCCAAGATCATCAAGTCCAACCTCTGACCTGAAGGAACTTCCCTTCATTCTGTGCCAAGACTTGTCCAGGCAGGACAAGTTGTTCCTCTTCACACAAAATTCAGCCCTCTCCAGAGCCCAGAAGAGAGGTTCTCATCCTTCCCTACCTGCTCTGCTCCGTGGGGATCTCCGGGCGCCGAGGGTCCAGCAGAGCCTTGGGAAGGGACAGGATGGCCCCAGAGGGAAGCCCAACTGTGCATTAAAAGAAAAGCATCTCAAAAATCACAGAATGCCAGAAAAGCCAGGGTTAGAAGGGCCTTCTAGGGATCACCCAGTCCAACCCCCCTGCCCAGGCAGGGTCACCAGGAGCAGGTGACTCAGGAATGCATCCAGGTGGGTTTGGAATGTCTTCAGAAAGGGAAACCCCAGACCCTCCCCGGGCACCTGTGCCACTGCTCTGCCACCCTCAAGGAAAAGTTCTTCCTTGGAGTGAAACTCACTGGGTTTTAGTTTATGGCCATTGCTGCTCAGGGCACCACTGGAACGAGTCTGGCACCTCATGGCCATTCCTGACAGCGTTTTCTGACAGCCAACAGAGACACACTCCTGGTGCTTATCCCTGAACGTGCAGGACTCCAGCACAACCCCCAGGCACAACTTTTTGGCAGCTAAGTGCATTTTGTTGAATCTCAGAGCTCCCCTTTCCCTGAGCAGACACTCACCGAGCAGGTGGCGGCTGGTGATGCCCCGCTCGGTGATGGTGGCCTCCATGGCACTGATGGCAGAGGGGAAAATGTAGGATTGCTGGAGGACCTGGGGCAGAATGGGGCGGTCCAGGGAGCTGAAGGCTGTGGCGTTGTACTGCTCTGTGCCCTCGTAGAGCTCCAGCACCGTGAACTCGTTGCGCCGGGCCTTCGTGTTCCAGTACTGGTACTGCAGCCAGGAGATTCAGGAGGATCAGGGAACACCCAGGGAAATCACAGAGGGCGGTCACAAAACTGCCCCCATGCCAAAAAGATTTTTGCTTTTTATACATTTTCCATATATTTATAGCTCTGTAGATTACTATTATATAGTTAGACAGCTCCTTCAGTAACTGTAGCACCTTCCTACCCCTCCCTTAGATTTTAGAACAATAAGCAAACCTTGTTGGAATCTTATTTAGTCTTTGCTATATAGTGAACCAAGGACATCTCATTTTCTCCATCTGTCACAGACATGACAATAAATGGGGAGCTAGGGCGGGGCTTCAGTGGGAGCAGAATTGAAAGGGGGGATTACTTCATTCACTGACCCTCTAACTGGATGATTTAAGTATGCTAATTTGTTAAACTTACAAAACTGTCAGAGTCTGCCATTACATGTGTACTTTGCCATATTTGCACCATGAAGGACCTTCATTGCTTTTTATCACCTTAATCTTGTCCAGCTCGTGATTTTAGGGGCAGCCCCAAACAAGCAGCAGCTTACCACCACCCAGTTCTCTGAGTGCACCATGTGCACGGGCCCCTTGGCCTTTTTCTGCACCGAGGAGTGGATGATCCTGCCCGTGACGCCGTCCATGAGGTAGATCCCGATGAAGGTGCGCTCGTGGTGCGTGTCCGTGCTCTCTGTCACCACGGCCAGCAGGTTGGGATTCAGGGACTAGGGATGAAGGAGAAACAGCTGAGACCCCCTGGGAGTGCCACAGACACCTCCTTCCTGCTCTTCATCTGGCACTGGGCATGTTGTGAACAAATTAGCATAAATCACCTCAAGAAATCAAGCTGCTGTTTCCACAATTTCAGACTCTGACTGACTTAACGTCCACATTAAAACATCAAAATGAGTGCTCTTCCAGAGACACTGGTGCCCACAAAGAAAAGCTGGCACCACAGGGCAGCTCATCCCAGTGTAGGGAATGGTACTGGGATCTTCCCATGGGATAAGCCCTCAACAAAAAGCCAACAGAGAGCTGCAGCAGCACCTTGTAGAGGACGCTGCGGTCGCCCATCACGCGGCCCTGGGAGTGCACGTGCTCGTTGGACCTCTTCCCCTTGACAGCCACAATCCTCTGCACCTCCGTGGGGATGGCCACCTCCCAGATCTCCTCTGTGCTCAGGTCCTGCAGGGAAAAAGCACGTGGGAGCTTGGATCTCGTCTTCCAAGGACACCATCTCCACCAGCAGGATGCAGATTCCCTTGCTTTGGGATTTCTTGAGTTCCTTCGGCACATTTTGAGGCTGAATGTTCAGCTGAGCAAAGCTCCACGAAGGGAGCTGAGATCTGCCATTACCCACAGGGCATTCGGGGAAGTGCAATGGGCCTTCCATACCTTTTTCAGCCTGAATCCAGAGAGTTTTCCCTGCTCAGCATCAACTAGGTAAAAATAGATGGAATGGGCTATTTCTTCTAACTGGCGAAGGACATTTTTAGTGGCTGGGAAAGGTGTAACCTGGAAAAGAAGAATTGAAACACAGGTTAAAAACAGCTGATACAGACAAAAAATCCACCCCAGAACGAACCAGAAAGATTATTTCTAACATGTTTATCAAGACACGGTCTGTCTTACCAGAATAACCTCATAGTTTTGTGTGAAATGTGGCTCAATGGCATTTTTTTCCATGTTGTTCCAAAAGGGAGGGGAATAATTAACCAGAATGTAAAGAAAACTGCCTCCAGGCAAGGCAATTCACCTTGTACTC